CAACCCCCCTGTCCAGTCCAGGTATTTGACCCAACCCCCCTGTCCAGTCCAACCTCTTCCGCCCCCCATTCTCCTTTATTTTTTGGAATAGCCCAATACTGCCTGTTGTTGCTCACTTGACATCATATTGATGAATGAATGAAGACCTTTATTGTACATTGATGTACACTGTAAGTGTAAGTAAGAGATATAAATGTTGGGCACTGGGCAGGTAAAAAATAACATTGCCTACATATACATACGTATATGTACAGTTTTAATGTCGAACATATCAGTGAATTTACGAAACTTTTTTTACAGACAAATTAAAACAGTGCAAGGAGCATCTTTCATGTTTTTTTCCTTTAAAATCTTTGCCATAGAAACCGACACATGTGTACAAATCTTTGCTTGTTGTGGATAATAACATGGTATATACAAGACTTGATTTCTGTCATTAACTTGGCCAACCCCATATTATTTTGATGCAATTTTGGAAATTAGAGGTACAATCACACCGATATACCAGCTAATTAACATAATTTGGTGACCATTTTCTGAAAATCAACATTATTAGATCAACACAAGACTAGATGAAGGGACAGGTAGATGTTTGGAAGAATCACCAAGGAACTATACTTATTGTAGCATACTATTATACAATGTAGTGTTGCATCAGAATTTTGCCTGTTGCAGAAGATATCTTTTCTGATACAACATTTGGAAACTACAGACGGAATGTTAACCTTATATATGCTCGAATACGACCTTGTATCAGACGTTCTACCAAAGTGCTATGCACAATACATTTTGGGTTTTGCGCAGGTGCAGTACGTTCTGCTGACGTGCTATAGACGATATGGGAGGGTGGATCTAGCTGGGGGCCTGCATGGGGTGTCCCGACAACGCTATACGCTAAATTTTTAGAGCTGGCTACGTATTTACGCTGAATTCAGAAAACCTCTCGATTACGCTTTACGATAAATTCCAAGTGGCTACAACGCATTACCTAAATTTAAAACGGCGATTATGCTCTACGCAAAATGCATCAATTATGCTCTACGTTGAATTAGAGCGGTCTGTCTACGCTCTACGTAGAATTAAAACGGCTGATTATGCTCTAGGAAAAAGGGCCCCCCCTACAAATGTACAACAAATATAGATCGTACATGTAGTAGGAATGTGGGATTTTGTATATGGTTGGTGGGGTGGGAGGGGGGCTACACGACACCTGAACACAACATTGTCAATCAGTCCATTTCTGCGACCAAATATGGTCATGCAAAAACTTTCTGCCCCAAACCAGAAGGTGTCCTGGGGTTTCAATGTCAGTGTTGCCAGTCCAGTTTGTTTAGATGAAAGGAGACCTCTGGAATCCGTACGGAGGGTTTACCACGGATTCTAACTCAGGAATGTAACCTACAAACACACTGTTCACTCCTGGGCATGGGAACATGTGTTTAACTTTTACTCAAATCTTCTAGAAGAAGGGACACTAGATATACATTGATGTATGTAAATTTTTGTCCTTTTTAAAAAATTTTAACAACTTTTTACTGTATTGGATATTTATTACAATACAGTAATAATATGTATTTTATTATTTTCCACATTATATTCCATACATTATATTTATACAATTTACAACAACTGAAAGATACTTTGTTATCAACTTAAAAGCATTTTTTTTGCATTGTTTACTCTTTTAAATGATCAAGATTTTATTCAAGGATTCGGTAAACATATCATAAGAAATTTGTTTGATTTGATTACGAAGTATTTGAAATATGTGAGGCTCAGTATCTTCTTACTAAAATTGAGGAGACTAAGTAAAAGTTTGAAAGGTGTGTGCACTCTTTTGGAAAGAAATTTGATCAATATCTGAAAGGTTACAGTCATTAGTAGATGCCTTTTGTCCCAAATTAAGTTAATTATGTGAAACTTATTGAAGCATCACCAGTTCTGTGACCCAGGAATGTTTGGTATGTGACCTTGGAACATACCATAAAGTCCCCTGGGTTAGTGAGGTTTGAGAGATTTTAATCTACATGTTACACTCCCTTCTGATATTCTTTGATAAATCCTTGTGTTTATGTTGCAATTTCTGTACTCATTCAATGTTGTTTTTAGAGTATTATCGAGATAATTTAACACACATTGTCAATGGTAGTTCATTATGCTGCACTGTCAATTGTTCCTGTACTAATTTACAGTACTCTATTCCAAATGGCTACCTTAGGCCACACCAATTTAATTTGTTGGTTCTCGGATACGCCTCTTCATTTTTGTCTGGTTTGCATAAAAAAAAAGATTCTGGTTCTGAATCAACTCAAAAATGCTCATATTTTGCCCCCAACAGCCGAGGAAAGTCCTTTTCTTCCTAGTTGTTGCAGTTTTTCCATCTATCAATGCAGTGGTTTGATTAAAAGTTCAAGATTCATTGTTTAAATTTTAACCCAGCTTTTCATGTTTACTTCATGGCTCTTATCGAAGCATTTTGGGCTATAATATGATTAGACCTGTTTTTATTTTAATTTTTTTTTTGCCCTGTCACTTCATATTTTTTTCTGAAAAAATCCCAGAACCAACAAATTAAATTGGTGTGGCCTTAGCAGGCTGAAAGTTAAAACCATGTACTGAATTGTGGTTGCCTACATTTGGGGTATATATTTCAGATACTAGTGGTGCCAGTTTACTTTTTGCACATCTGGTAGCTGGTGACTCTGGTTAATATATAATCCTGTGTTTATATATGAATTTGTTTGGAGGTGTGGTGGGTGTCAGTGATGGTTATCTCTGAGTAGAGACAGTAGTTCTGCACATCTGTGGCATGTGGAGGTCAGGAGAATTACTAGTATTCGTTCAACCAATGATAGCATGGCAATCAGCAGTTTGACCCAATCAACCAATGTTATATACATCATTTTAATCAAGTTTAACATTTTTATGTTCTTATTTTGCATTTCTCTAAAGTTTTCATACACACTGACTCAGCGAGTACAATGGAGTGATAGCGTACATTGTAGCCAGGAGGTTGTTACATGTTATGTTCCAGTACTATGTAGCCTGGGTGCCAGACCCATAGCACACTGGACACAAATATCTCAGTGCACACTGAGATATTTTGTGTCCAGTGTGCTTTGGGTCTGGCATCCAGGCTAGTACTATGCAGTCTAAGAATGAAAAGTTTATTGCAAATTTGTGCACGTGCCCGGAGGCTAATTGCAAATTACAAAACATAAAAGAACAATGAAATAGAGTATAAATTTTATAAAATAACTAAAGTCTACATGATAAAGGTAGCTGTCTAGAACTATAACTATGTCTAAAACTATGTCTGAAGGGTTTGACTTCTCTTCTGTAAACCATGGAAGACGTAATGTCCCACCTTTTCCAAAAAGAATACTAGGACAGTCATTCCATCCCACATACATTCCATACCTATCATGTATGGATGGCATAAAGGGCCTTCGTAGTTCTTCAAACAGGGATCAAACTGTCCCGGCCAGTGTTGGCTGGTTGAAAAGGTGTGAGATGAAGCAGATACAGTGTAACAAAGGTAGAGCAGGCGTTCCCTGGTCGAGTTCCCATTCCTGTTCCGTGGTCATGCACAGAGGAGGACAGGTCTACCACGGTGGTGAACAACAACAATCCCCAGACATGCACTAGTTACTGTGTATCTCCAAATATTCCCCAAACCATGACACCACAAATATGTGTTGTGGGAAGATATTTCTGAGTAGAAAGCAACATTTGGACATTTATTCTAAACAGACTGATCCAAATATATAGCCTTCCTACCTCTATCAAATTGTTAATTTTTTGTAGACATCTAAACACGTTCACACACTTGTGGATCACATTGTCCACATGCAAATGGTTTAATTATTCTAACGATGAGTGTTTGTGTTTACCTTCTTAGGATGCCACATTTTGTGTGTTATTTTTGCTTAATGAAAATGATTTGTCAATTCCCACCTCCAACTTGTTCTTCATGCAGTTTTTATTTGTCTCAGTTCTTTAATATCAACGCATTTATACCAAAAACACACAGGAGACTCTCACTTGTACCGATATTGGCAAACAGTTTGGAGGATACATATGCATAAAATATAATGATAAATTTGCATATACACACGTTATTGTACCAGTAAATGTTCTAAATCAATTTTTTTTGTTTTCCAGCAAGCTGCGAAGTACGACCATGACCTTGAGCGTCAGGTTCGGCTGTGGATAGGGGAGATTCTGGGTGAACCCTTCCCTGATGCCGGCTTCCAGGAGGCCATGAAAGATGGCACCCTACTCTGCAAGTAAGTCTGCCTTTCTCTGTTCTCATTTCATCTTTCCCTTAGACCCCGTTCATGATTCAAAATGTGTTGCGGTTTGGCCAAGAACCGATTGATTCGGAATATATTTTGCATCCGTGATTCAAAACTTGCACCCACGCTGGAAACGGTTTCACACCTCGATTTTAACTTGTATTTCGTATCTGTACCACAATTTCTTTGAAAGCAAACATTACATACCACTCTCGCGGGGTGGTTCAAAATAAATTGTATATACGGAACTAAAATGGAGTGTTCATGTTCCCACATAATTTGATTTAGTTTTTCAATTCGAATCAATTCGCAACAGATTTTGAATCATGAACTGTTGAGGTGAATCCAAGAACCAACAAATCAAATTGGTGTGGCCTAACATTGTTACATTGGCATGACATTATCACTTTGTAGTGCATTTATCCACCATCAATTCTTATCAACTTTAGAAACAGACACCAAAATTGAATCAGTGATTGATCTGATTACATTTTGCAGCAGATATTTGCATTAATTTCCATACAAACAAGGAAAGACAACACAGGGTAATTTGATAAAAAAATAATATTGACTTTTCTTTGACTTTCTTTGTCTGATATCTGTTTATGTAAAAAATTGGGCTGTCTATACAAGTAAGTGGCTGTAGTTTTATTCTGTGTTACTATCATAATTGTTTTACATTCAGCATAAGAATATATGCTATTATGTTTTACAGCCTGATCAACAAGCTGGAGCCAGGTTCCGTTAAGAAGATCAAGACCAGTAAAGTGCCTTTCATGCAGGTAAGACAAGTTTTCACTTTGTTCCTAATGCTTGTTTCTCAATGTGAGCCCAAATATGAGCATTTTGGAATTAATTCAGAGACTAGTTTTTTTTTTCTTTGCAAATAAGAAAAAAATGAAGTGGATGAATCTGTGAACCAACAAATTAAATTGGTGTGGCCTAACCTACGCAAATGTGGTGTTCTCTACAAGTGAATTTGTTGTGTTGTAGATGGAGAACATCAGTCAGTTTCTGCAGGCAGCAGAGCGTTACGGTCTGAAGCGGACAGACCTGTTCCAGACGGTGGACTTGTACGAAGGGAAGGGCATGAACGCCGTACTGGACTGTCTTATCGCCCTGGCCAGTCAGGTAAGGATTACTTTTGACAAAATATTTATACTTACACAACACACAACAAAGGTTCAGCTATGCTGGGGAGCTTTCGAGACGTACTCTGTCTCTTCTTCAACCTGATTAAGATCTCGTCGTGGAGTTCTCTTGTCACGTGATTGATGTGATAATCACGTGACAAGATTGAGCAAATATATACCGTAAGTTGCAAAAAAAATAAGGTAAGGATTATTTGTCAAACCTGCCAAGGTGACCACCTGGCCAAGGTGGCCTGGCCCCGAAATTTTCCCCATTGATGCAACCATTAAGCAACCTGGCCAAAGTGACCACCTGGCCAACGCGACCGCCCTGAGTTGGGTTCACTCAAGGCCCGATACCTGCCCAAGCCTGACCACATCATTTTCGATCATGTTGATGATAACTAATGAGAAATCATGAAGAAAACCAGCTAGTTTGCCCTGACTGCTGGACGATGTATTTTGTTTGACGTAAATTGTTCCATGTGCCACCCTCCCCACATGCAATCACTACAGAACTAAAGATGCTTACAGCATTTGACATTAAAACATCTCGACTTGGAACCATTTATGTCTCAGTCATGTTGTGAGGTGACCCTCTTCAAGGAGACTACCTGTCCAAGGTGACCACTTTTCTTTGGTCCTCTGGGTGGACAGCTTGGCAGGTTTTACAATATAACAGTAGCATGTATAACTTTTTTCTGTCCTCATACATGTATAACTTTGTTTCTGCCCTCACACATGTAGGCCAAAACCAAAGGAGTGGTGACCCAGAGCAACCCCGGCGTAAAAGTAGCCGCCAAGAACGAGAGAAACTTTAGCGAGGAGGTTCTGAACCAGTCCAAGATGGAGATCAGTTTACAGTACGGCTCCAACAAGGGCGCGACGCAATCCGGCATGACAGCTCCGGGCACCTACCGACATCTGTGACACCCGTGTGGAAATAGTCTCATACCCTGTTCATAGAAACGCCCGTGAGAGACCCGTTGTCAACTCCTAGTACGCTGTAACATGGCAGAACGTTTTTAGGTTGATTTTTACAATGTTAAGTTGTCAAAATTTGTCATATCAGCAGACATTCCTTTTTAGATTTAAACTGATATTACGGTGTAACATGGCAGAACGTTTTAGGTTGATTTTTACAATGTTAAGTTGTCAAAATTTGTCATATCAGCAGACATTCCTTTTTAGATTTAAACTGAAGATTAGTAGAGAGAAATGTTTCATTGCTGTGAGAGACAGGTTGTGAATTGTTCAATGGCAGATTAACCATAGATAAATTGATAAAGAAATATTGTATAGTTATGTAGCTCTTGATGTATCCTTCTACAACCGTTAGTGGTCTTGTCCTCAACAAATTTTAATATCAAAATGTCGTTATTTTCTAATCAGAAACACTGCTGTTGATTTTCAATGATTGATTGTGTCATCCTAAAAACAATCATCTTTTATAACATACTGCAAACATTCCTGATGAATTGATAATTGACTTTCCTTAGTTTACATATTTCTTGATTCCAGAATGTGACGTGGCAATGCTTTTCTTTACATTTCCATGGTATATAATCTCAATATCCCATATCCAGGTAACACTATGGACTTTTCCATTGTTGCAGGTGTTAAGTTAAGGGTATTGGAAGAATGCAATTGTACCTCGAATATGAAGTTACTGCAATGTTTGGACAATTTCCTAGCTACCAGTAGTTAGAGGGGGAAAATATCTATAATCTATCAATGATTATTTGGCCTTTGGTGTCATACTGTGCCTGTTAACAATACCATATCACATTTTGGATTGGCTGATTTCTAACCATATCATGGGGATGACCAAAATGGTGCGATATGATTGGCTCATTCCAAACCATATCATGGTGATGAGGAAATGGTGCGACGTGATTGGCTGGTTCCAAACCATATCTTGGTGATGACCAGATGGTGCCACGTGATTGGCTGGTTCAAAATCATACAATGGTGATAAAATGTGTTTGATTGGCCCATTCCAAACCATGATATATATATACTTTGGTATGATGGTATTGTATGATTGGCCTGTTTTTAATTGTATCACTATGATAGTCAGTTGGTGCCTTTCACAATTATAAAGATGCAATGCTTCATTTTGAGTTACACTTTGTTTACAGAACTAATACTGTACAAAGGAGGCCTGACATCTACATGTGCTGCCACCCCTTTAAAACCAAGTTGAAACTTAAACTAATTCTCTAAATTCCTTGAGAATTATAGAATGTTTGTATGTGGCCTTGTCATGTGTGGTATACATTACAGGATCAAGTAGGATAGGTTTCAAAAGTTTTCACTTTGTGGTCTAAGGGATTGTTATCATTACGTTAAAAATGCCATACAGAATTCAAGTATATCTATTCTATAATGTTTAAGGATTGAAAGATTTTCTGATGTAAGAAAAAAAAGAGCATTCCATTTTTTTTAAGCAATTACTCCTGCTAGTATGTTACTACAACTGGTAGTATTTATACACATTCCAAAGTATGTACTAGACTAAGTATATATAACAAAGATGTCTGATGCGCTTGTTTTTTTAACAAGAAAATATGTTTTAAGGCTCTTCCAGCTATGGTAATTCCAACCATGTGATACTTTATTCCTGTGATACTTGTTTTTATGTTGACAATACATTATAATTAACAATATATTGTTTTCATGGATGATAATGATTCTTTCTGTCTTCTCAGCTGTATGTCGTACATTCCATAGTTATGAATCATAAATAGTAAATAAATGTAGCAGAATCTGATGTACCCTGGTTTTTTGTTTGACTGTATTAATTAAGTACAACTTGGGGTGGGGAAAACTAGTTGGATATTTAAAGGTGGCCAATGAAATTTTAGGGCCTGAAAACCAGATTTCTCAAAGTTACATGTAATATTCTAGTGTTGCAAGGTTCTATGTCTCACTAAGTTTAGTGCTGTGTGCCGGTTCGCTGGACCGATTCCGGAAGCAAACAAACCACCTAAAACCTCCCAATGATTGCAAAATCTGTGCAGCAAAATGAAGAAAACTTTGCCATCGGGCATCATCAAGTGTCGGCCTCCATGTTATGTGGTCACAGTTTTGCCCAAACAACATTGCAAGGTTGCCAACATGCAATTATGTATATGCCATGGGTTTAGGTCCAGACTTGCGAGTGCGGAACTGAACCTAAACCTCTGGGCTTGAACCTAAATGTGGCTTTAGGTACGCAGCACTCTATACGTTAATATAATAAGACCTTCCTGTCAATCTATGGTTGCAAAATCTGCGCCTCCTTTCCTGCCAGTCTACTGCATTCAAATACTTAAACACACAGACAAGCAAACACGCAAACACACACACCTACTACAATACAATGTAGCTCTGTATCTGGTGGTAAAAAAAGACAACGAACTACAATTTACTTTTCAGTCATAGACTTTTACTGCAAAAATGTTACATTCACAAAAATAGCAACCACTTCTCCAATGAGGGTATGTACAATACTGACACCAACATGTCTAAACCAGTCATCACTTCAGTAAGTAGATAGAGCTATGACAGTGGGAGTTCATGATCACTGATATAAAACATAAAATCCTTTCTCCTGAGTTCTTGCCACAGTAGACAGCACTACTGGCTCTGTTTTCTGACCAGCGAGTGCCCCTAATATCCGAGATTTAAAAATTCAAATGCATCATCATTAAAATGTCTTCGTCACTCCTGATATCAAACAAGTAAATATGTCTTCTTATCATTAAATACTTTTCAACCATTTAAATTACTCTTTGTAAGACAGAAACTGTCTTCTGAATGCTAGATGCAAAAGTGGACTTGAAAAGGTGCCCTTTCTAGTATTAATACGCATCCAAAGTACCCTCAATAAATGACAGTTCATGATCAAATGTACTAACAATCCCGTATGGCTGTTATGGTGGAAGTTGTATTGAATTCCTGCAAAAATGTCATTTTTTGCCTCTGATAAAATATACAGCATCTGCACAAACATGTAAAAGGGGGGAAAATCTGAGGTAAAATACCGAGAGTCTATATAATGGTTTGTTAGTATATTCATGGCACAAGAGTCGGATACAAATGTACAGTAATATATACAAACATTCATGGTTGCAAATACACTTTGTTTTGAAGTCTACATCTGGATGTATTTCTTGCAATACAACTGGTTTGAAATTACAGATGCAAGAATTTCCTTTCGACACATTTAAAACTGCGGCAGGATATACTGATTGTCTGTTTGGCACTAGTGGTTCTACCCTGCTCGAGTTTGTAATGTTTCTCACTAACGCTTTTATCTTAAACAATATACATATATATATTTATATGAGAAGTCACAATCCTTTTGAAACCGCTGCAGTTATTAGTTCATGACATGAGACGCTGGATAAAAAGATGTTTCCAAACTACAATTGGTACATGGCACACAATTGTAAACATGTTTTGTCGATGTTAAAAGCCCTTAACGCGTTCGTTGTCACGAACGCTGGATCCAAATCAAACCGCCGGTTTCAAGTGCGTACACAACCCGTTGCTACAACTGTTCCCAAGATCATACAAAAAAGTTGGCACTTCATCTCACAAGGTTGCAACGTACGTGGGAGACCGACTACAAAGGGGAGGCACCGTAACTGCTGTGAGAGACCATAATTTACAAGTACATGTCATCAATATAAATTCTCCACTATTAGGATATACGTACTGGCAAGAACGTTACCAACTTCTGATGCTAAATCAGCAGGTATCTACCATATGGACCTGTACTGGGGCCTGTAGTTTATTCCCCAGCATGGTCTGGGGAGGGGGGTCCAATCTCTCAGAGTAATTTTTGTCGGCGGTGAGGGGCTCCAGTACCAGGGGTTCTAAGTACGCGGGCGGGTTTTCGCTGTCTTCGTGCGGAGTCATGGTGCTGTAGCCGTGGTCGCTGTCCGTTCCCCGCGTGCTGCGCGAGTAGCGGTTCCTCCGGTCGTGGTGGCTTGGCCGACGCTCGATGGTGGCCAGGAAAAAACTGGTGTGATCTGGTATAGAACGAGACGTCAGTTAGCGCAAAGATTGGTACAAGATGTCAGACCTTAGACTCTCAATGCAAACAATAGATTATTGACGTCATTTTCTTTGATAAGCACCCAATAGGCGCTCCATTTACCAACAACCAAAATGTATGCTATGTACTATCATCTTAGGTGTAGAAGCATGCAGATTCTGCTGATCAAATCTACCTTTTCAAGTATAAACATATACGTATAGCTTCCATCCCAGCCATGATTTTGGTACACATTTAAATGCCGTGGCTTTGTGTAACATAACATAACATTGGCTACTACTGAATATTCCATATGTTTCTATTTGTTGTCTTAAGCATCCAGAACATGTACAGTTTTTAGGGCTTGGAAACCAGATTTTCCAATGTTGATATTCTACTCACTTATCTACATACTGAGTTGAAACTACAATATCCCAATGTATATTGACCCTCATGGAGCAAAAATACCCAAACTTCTGATGGAAAATGGTTACTGGAAGGGCCCTGGGCTGATTTTTAGGGTACCACCCAAAAAATAAAGGACTCATCTTGGGGCTTGTTTCTCCAGTTTTAAGTACCCAACATATGAAATAATGAAATGTGCTAATGTGAAGCAGTATTTGATCAATATCACAAAGATTGCCTCATTCAGAATATTTCCAGTTTTGCTGCTCTAAAATTGCATTGGATGCCTTTAATAGACAATGTAAAACAGACAATCTAGACAGTCACTTCAGGAAATATCACACCCAAAACACAAGACGGTACAATACCTAACAGGAAGCTACCTATCCCGTGGTTCTCGGGCGGGTCGTCTGGTTCTTCGTCGCGTTCGTCCAGCTGTGACATCCTCATGGTGGTCTCAGCGTTCTGCAGGGTCTGTTGGCGCTGTACGCGGTGCACGTGGTGCCGGTAGAAATAGATGGCCAGGGCGAAGACCAGGATGACGGCCATGATGCCACCAGCTACGGGGCCCACCGGAGCGTTGTGAACACGCCTGGGGAACTGGCTGGCAGCTGGGGGGGGAGGAGATCACTGGTGTTAGTAACCGTAATGGACTGGATTATTGTGAAAATATCAGTGTCAAGAATTTCTTTATATTAATCAAAACTATCAGTCATTTTAATGTTGGCGATGAGTTTTGCATAAAAATGTCCAATTTTGCACTATTCTCAATCTCTCTAGGCTGGAAAATAAGTTTCCATACTTTAATTTAAAAGTTTTAGGGAACTGTAACGCAATCTTGAATCTTTCCTTCTTTTACAGTTATTTTGCTTCAGATCTCTATGTTAAACCCTTTCACCTTAGGAAAGAAATTTGATTTTGAGTCGACCAATGTCTCCTAAAAATGTAGAACTGGTTGTATGAGCTCTGTGACCATGAAATTTGACGCACATGGCCGGGTCACTAACCACTACGCGACCAAGGCATGTCCAAGTCTCTGACAGAATGTATGGTGTTCCACTTACTGACTTCGTCGGCATAGGGTGACTGGCTGCCCACCACCCCCCCGAAGCACACCCTCTGGGTGTCACAGTACTCCTTCTCCAGGGGGGTCTCCCCGTCAGGACCCAGCATGCACCACTCACAGTCCAGCACTCCGAAACAGTCGCTGCAAGCAACATAAACAGTGTTCATCATCATCATTAGTTCACCGTATTGGTCGAGGTTATACCACTCTTTTCAGGGTGACAAACCCCTTTGTTACCCTTATATTATAATACAAGACATGGTTCACCAAGCCTCCATCTTGGTGATCAGAGGTCGAAATAGACTTTAGGGTCAACTTGCTCTAGTGCAGATGAAAAAAAATTAACATGCACCAAAACAAAAATAGTTCCACCCCCCAAAAATAATAGGTACACAACCAAAAGTACATGTAGTAACTGTCCAATATTTGTGGGGATAAACTACTGGCCATGGCAGGGACTTAGAAAGTTAGATAGTAACCTTCAAATAATTATAAAAATGATTCCTGGATTCTGGTTTTGTTACCATTTCAGTTCTTCATTGGGTATTTCTATGGGTAGTAAGTTAGTGTAGAAACGAATAAAGCTTACTTGCACCAATGCACACTGGTAAAAAAAAATTAGTTGCACGCCATCAAGTTGCTTGCACCAACCTGCACAGGAGGGGTATTTTGACGTATGATGTAAATTACCATGCATGTGGCTGATATGAGACAGGGTTCCCCACACCAATGTTTGTAATAACATGACATGATATCATTCTATGGTCAAGTAGCTAGCAAGCTTGCCATCCAAAACTTCAATCCCCAGAAGTAAAAAGGGAAGCCTCAGCTTTTTCTTTGCAAAAGAACAACTACTATAGTACTGTACCTGTATGTCTTCCTGCTGGTGCAGTCTGAGTTGAAACAGGGCGGCACCCCTTCCGTGACCTGTGGGTCGACGTGCGGCAGGACGATGGGCTCGTGGCGGGTACTACAGCTGGGGTTCCTGTCCTCGTCATGGGCCAGCCGACTGGAACACTGCTGCAGCTGGAGCGGACACTCACACGGACACTCACACTCAGTCTGCTCCATACGATGGCAGTTCAGACACAGACGGTCAACCTGGTAGTGGAGACAACAAAATTAAAGGTGGTCCAATGGCCACTGACCACTAAAATTTAGGCCGGGACAACTAAAAAGGCACTTAAAGGGGATATTTTGGGGACAACAGAAAAATAATCAACATCAGAATGTCAGCCCTTCTTTCATTTATAGGCACACTTCCTGGCTTTTCGATCCAGAAAAATCCCCCCAAACTTCCTGTCTACTCTGCAATTATAGTGCGCCTGGGAGTGAACATAAGCAAAATAAAGTCGACTTCAAGTTGAAGTTTATTTGTTTATTGGAGTTTACCACCAGATCATAGAATACTTTCCAAAAAACAGGATGGCACAGTTGTTCCTCATTTTTGGACAATTGAAATTTATTTTACTCACCATACTGCATGGGCAGAAGGCAGTGATGACATCACATGTTTGGTTCACAATCCCAACAAAGGAGTTGGTGCCAGGAATTAACGTGATCTGGGAGGGAAAAAAAGATACAATACTCCTGTTACTAAGGATTTTCATAATCTATAGTGACTGTCATAATTCCTGAATCCAGGCATATTAACAAGGCAAGACTATTTTGTTTTGAACCTCACAGCCAAAATACACTGAAGAGTGTAAGACAATTTACAAATTTGTAATACAGTTCTACACATAGTTACGAAAAACTAAACCTGGTGTCTTCTTTGACACACTTAAGATATATTTCAAATGTCTTCCATTCTAGGGATTGAGGTAATGAGTTGAGGACTTACCCTGTACTTGGCACAGTGTTCCCCATGGATCAAGTTAGTCAGTACTCCCTGGAAACTGGTGTTGAACTGAGAACAAGCCAAATGAGATTCACAGGTGATTATTCCTTCTCTGGCTTCTCTTTTTCCTTTTCCTTTCGCTGAAATGTTCTTTTATGTAGTAAATTAACAAGAGTAGTAATTGCATGGCTAGTTAATATAATAATAGGACATATGACGTCACCACAGCCTCCTGGTGGAAAAGGCAGTCATCAAATGTCAACATGGATTTGGGTCAAATATCACCCCTATGTGTTGAGGACTGGTAGAAACCAATGGATCACCTTTTGCAAATAGGACTTTGGGTTGAAAGGCACCAAAACTGAAATTACTAACTGTATTTGTCCTTTAAGTAATGCATGACTTACCTGGTAGAGTCTCTGAATGGTCCTGTCATTGTAACTGTTACACATGTTCTTCTGCACAAACCCTCGGTGGTTCAGAATATCATTGGCAACAAGAGGTTCCTGTCAGGGAAGACAACAATCAGTAGAACTGTCTACACTAGAAAGGTAACATTTGCAAAGCAAATGCATAATGTTTACCTTCGCATATGGTCTGCTCTGTTAATTCTTACTCAAATACATTCATGTATATGGTCAGACAGGAGTCTAAATCCCTCCTGCTATAAAATTGCAACATGATGTAACCCAACACCAGTTAGTACTGTTACCATGGTGAGAGACGTCAACAAATCAGGTCATTGGCCAGGGTCAACAAATCAGGTCATTGGCCAGGTCAGAGTTTGGAACGGAAGAAGAGGAATCGTAACATTATGTTTTCCATACCTACTAAGTACTCCAAGGTTAAAAAGATTTTTTTCTCACAGGCAAAGCTATGGACTCGTACTCGTAGCTTTCCACAACATTGCATGCTCAAGTTTTGGCTAAAATATGTGGAAGCACAAGCACTTGCATAAGGACACTTTTATTTTCAATTGTCCCTTGCAGGGATCCATCCCCAAAAAAAGTCTAGGGTCGGCAGGTTTTTCTAGGGTTAGTCGGGAAACAGGAAACACAAGAATTTTTCGTAGGCCCGTGTAGTCTCACCATGTGTGTGATGTGCCTCTGCTCGATGGGACCCTGTCTGCTGGGTTCTATCAGGCCGGGGTGTGCCACCATGTAGCCCTTGTCGTCAAAAATAAAACACCTGCAACAAGAAATTAAACATTTCAGTACTTGGTAAACTTTCTGCAACTTTCTTGCTTTGTTCGTGATTGTGAATTTCTTGCTGATTCAGTGCATATTCCACTGTTACTCTTTCCTAGCTAGCAGGGCAACAATTTTAACCTCCATTTTGACCTTCCTGTCAGTCTGCGGTTACATCATTCCCCAACCGACTTCCTGTGACTCCATGTCGGATTCCCCTCTTCATTTTTTTCTGATTTGCAAAAAAAACAAAAGATTCTAGTTCTGAATTCACTCAAATATGCTCATATTTTGCACCCAACAGTTGAGGAAAGTCCTTTTCTTCCTAGTTGTTATAGTTTTTCATCTATCAATGCAGTGGTTTGATTAAAACTTCAAAATTCATTGTTTGAATATTAACTCAGCCTTTTGTGTTGACTTCATGGCTCCTATTGAAGCATTTGGGGCTATAATAGGATGCCTAGACCTGTATTTACTTTATTTTTTCACCCTGTCACTTCAAATTTTTTCAAAAAAATCAGAGAACCACCAAATTAAATTGGTATGGCCTTACCACAGAAAAAAAAAACACACTTCAACCTTGTACAAACTCCAGAAGTTTTGGGACGTTACCTGATACTGTCCTCCTTACAGAGTGGCAGTGTGTCCACCAGGAGTTTGTAGAAGTAGCGCAGAGTGAAGTCAGCCCCAATGACAGCCACTACCTTGTCTGTAGACTGATGATATCCATCCAACCTGTAACACAATCATATAGGAATACATCAGTCACTACTGCTGTGTACCTAAACCCATATTTAGGTTCAGGTCCGGATTCAAGTCCAGAGGACTAGGTTCAGTTCTGCACTCGTAAGTCCGAACCTAAACCCACGGCGCATACAAAATTGCATGTTGGCAACCTTGCAATGTTGTATTGGCAAAACTGCGGCCACATAACACGGAGGCCGACACTTGACGATGCCCGATGGCAATGTTTTCTTCATTTTGCAGCATATATTTTGCAGTCTGTGGAAGATTTTAGGTGGTTTGGAAAGAAAAGGGGTGTGTGACATGATTTTTGTAATAAGTCTGGAATCGGTTCTTGACTTGTAGATTTTTGGACTTAACCTAAACATTTTTACAAGTCCGGAACCGGTCCAGCGAACCGGTACACAGCACTACCAGTCATACAGACATTTCTTACAATCTCTACATATGTTCGTACTTGGACATTTCTGAACGGGTGTGCAGTGCAATGATACATCTACATGTATTATATATCTAACATTGTACAGTCAAACCTGTGCATAACGCTGTATTCAATTTGTCTCCTTTATCTGGATAAAGAACTTTTCATAATTGTAGCGCACACATGTCCTACCTTCCTTCCCAGACTCCTTGGCTGAGAGGGACGACATAGCCTGCTCCAAAGGCGTCCAGATGGGGGGCAGACAGTGTGAGGCGGCCTGGATTCTCCAGAGCATGGGTATACCTACAGATGTACAGGTTCAACTTAACTTTCTATAAAACAATGTAATATGTAACCTACAATAGTTTTTTATGTTTGCAGAAGGAAAGTATATTGTTTTTGCTGTTTCTTCTTCAAACCGATAAAGTCAATGACCTGAACCAGATGTCTGTCACCATGGTAACTAGTGTTGGGTTACATCGGAAAGATTTAGACTCCTGTCACCATATATATGAATGTGTTGAGTAAGAATTAACAGAGCAGACCATATGTGAAGGTAAACGATATGCCAGTTACCATGGTGAGAGACATCTGGTTCAGGTCATTGACCTTTTGTGTTGGGAACGGAAGGGGGAACAGTGCAAAAACGATATGTTTTCCTTTGGTAAACATAATTATAGTACTTTTACATTGTACGTACATGTCTCTAAAAGAAGTCCAGTAAAAATTAAGTACACCTAGTACTTCAAGTCCTGCATATAGTAGCAGCATTTCAAAGTGTTCTTCACACTAGTGCCCAGAAGACTTGACTGTACATACCACTGCGTCCTAGTGGCATCAAAAGACTTGTCCATGACAGCTCCAGGGTACATTCTGTAGACACCACTGGGAGTTGCAGTATACCTGGAGAGGGGAGAAAGACTTCAGTAACTGTTTAACAATTCAGAGTTTTGTATGTGTCTACAGAAACTTAGCAAACTGTTTTAATTAATACTTGCAGTAAGTACCACAAAATCATGAAATATACATGGCTCAGTGTTTAGGCAGAGGAAAAAAAGTTGTGTTTCCTGACCGATCCTAGAAAAAAATTCTGACCCTGGGACCCTAGAAAAAAATTCCAACCCTAGCCTTTTTTGGGATGGACTCCAGCAAGGGATATAAACTTTTTGAGCTGATTGACCTTTTCTAGCTCCATGGTCTGACATCTGAGTTATTTTTTCTATTGTTGTTTTAAAAAAAGCATAAACCAAGTCAAACCCACCTCCTGACGATGTAGTCTTCCACACTGCTGTCTTCTTGAGAAGTCCAGTGTCTACTGATGCGGCTGGTAGCAGCCACGTCATCCTTGATGGTCGACTGGAAAAACAGGACAATTTGAAGCTTAGCATAATGACATCTCTTTCCATATATACACACCAAGTTTTGTCTGTCAAAGATGACAGATTGGGCAAAATTTTTGTCTGTCATCAGCAGCTAAATTCTGTCCAATTGGGACGGTGGGGTCGTGTGGCGTAGCGGTAGCGTGTTCGGCCTTGAACAGAGAGGTTCCGGGTTCGAATCCTACCCATGTCACCGATCTTGTGCCCTTGGGAAAGGCACTTTACAGGACTTTCCTCACTTCACTCAGGTGGAAATGAGTACCTAGCTTTGGTTAGGGACGTCTCTCGGATCGGACGTTAAATGGAGGTCCCGTGTTTAGGGAGAGCCACACCCCACACATGTCAAAGATCCCACCACACCTTTCAAAAAAGAGTAGGGGCATGCCCCACCCTGCGATGGTCCAGATACTCATCTGACTATTCACTACGAACTCAAGGAAGAGTATTTCACACTAATGGAGATCCTAAACAAACAAACAAAGAAACAAACAAAGAAACAAACAGGCTAGACCACTGATTCTGAATTTGTAGTCCATACCTTGACTCCAGGGTTAGCCAGTAGCCCTGTGTTGTCGGTGAGGTACATGGTGAGGTGCTGAACCATCCGCAGGGTCTCAGGCTGGTGCAGGTGTTCATAGGGCGCCTGGAAACTGCCGGGGGACAGCATCAGGGCTGCAGTTTCTATTGGTTCAGACAAAAAGGACATTAACTTCCAGCAGTTTCAATTGGTTGAGACAAAGAGGACATTAACAGGCAGCAGTTTCTATTGCTTTAGACCAAAAACCAGCCAACAAGCACTGGTTGCTATTGGTTTATACAAAAAAATAGATCAGTTTCTATTGGTTTAGACAAGAAAACAGTAAAAATAGAGCAGTTTCTATTGGTTTAGACAAGAAAACAGTAAAAATAGAGCAGTTTCTATTGGTTTAGACAAGAAAACAGTAAAAATAGAGCAGTTTCTATTGGTTTAGACAGGAAAACATTAAAAGTAGAGCAGTTTCTATTGGTTTAGACAGGAAAACAGCAAAAATAGAGCAGTTTCTATTGGTTTAGACATGAAAACAGTAAAAACTAAGCAATTTAGTCAGTAATAATTAACTGTTATCAATAGTACTATGATGAAACAGTTTCTAATAAGTCAGAACTAATCTTAAAGATTATTTCAAAACACAGAAGTTCCAATCCCAGCGTTTCTCACCAAGTGTTGCCAGCTGTTTCAGGTGCATGCATGTGGAGCCTTTCTGGGGGAGGTCCAGTCTATGGTACCGAAGAATGTGGCCTGCAGGTGCTGGAAAAAAAGTCTGAAATCAGCTTTTTGTGTATCCACACAATTTAGCAATATTCATTCTTGAATCCAGAAAGAAATCTAACCTTCGTAACTTAGACAATGATTGATATAAATGTACGCTAAGGTTTTTTTTCTGTGTGTTTGTCTGCTTGTTTGCTTGTGTCAGTAATCATTTTAATACATGGAGTAAATAGTACAAAGTAGCTGCAAAATGAGCAAATATATGCCGTAAATTGAAAACAAAATTGGAAAACAATACATATGTTGCAGAATACCAAAAATGTGAAGGAATGAAAATGAAGAGTCTATTATTCACCATGCCAATAAAATATTACTCAGTGTGTTTAGTCATTCGTTCAAGCTTCATGACCACCTAGATTTCATAATGAAGGCAACTTTTTTTTTGGCTAAACTTTTTTTTATTCTCACGCTCCCATCAGTTTAGGGGTTCCCAGAGGATGTCATCTATATAATCAAACTAACTTGGCCTAATGAGTCAAGAAATTAATAACAACTCTTAACTAATATCCTACAGAAATGTGAATTTTAGAATTGAAAATTTGTTTCTCTTGCTTGAAAAGTTAAAGAGAGATGATAACTTACAGTTTGTGCTCATGAGCTGTCTTCTTTCCATGTCCTCCTCCAGGATAGCAGTGGCGATGATAAAAGGTGTGCCGTCCACCTGTCACATACAAACATACAGACATCTGTATACTAGGCTCTTTCAATAGTTAATGTTATTAAGAATAAACTTTATACATGCCATCCATATGTAAATATATGTGTGCATTTATTATTTATTTGCATAGTACGTTTGTCACAAAAATTTGCTGATACACACCCAAGCGTACATAATATTGTACAGACGTAGTGACTTACAGGTGCCCAACTGTAAGTGATATTGTACAGCTGTAGAGGCTTCCAGGCACCCAGGTGTACATAATAATATAGAATGTAGATGCCCATTTGCAGGTGATATTGAACACCTGTAGTGACATACAGGTGCCCAGGTGTACGTGTGTAAGTGTAGTGAATTACAGGTGCCCAGGTGTAGGTGATATTGTACAGGTGCAGTGACTTACAGGTGCCCAGGTGTAGGTGATATTGTACAGGTGCAGTGACTTACAGGTGCCCAGGTGTAGGTGATATTGTACAGGTGCGGTGACTTACAGGTGCCCAGGTGTAGGTGATATTGTACAGGTGCAGTGACTTACAGGTGCCCAGGTGTAGGTGATATTGTACAGGTGCAGTCCGTTGTCAGCTGTTCGACCAGGCCGCCCCATCATGCTGGTGTTGTAGACAGCTGTCAGACTCTTACTCCCAGCACTGCCACTACAGCATGAAACAAAGGACTACAGTCAACACACAAATCAGTGGTTCATGTGTGGGACTTAGGCCTAAGAAAAAAATGTTGTGTTTACTGTTTCAGTCCAGAAAAAAAATGAAGGTTGGTAGTTAGGGAATTTTTTTTAGACTTTGCCGATCTCTAGTGATCCAACTTGTCAATAGAGTTGAACAAAGTAAAACTTGCATGAGGAGACTTATATTTTCAATGTTAATGATGGAAAACCAATTGTACAATGCTTCATCACTCAGATGTCAGATCATGGAGCTAGAAAAGGTCAATCAGCTCAAAAAATTATGTCCCTTGCAGGGGTGCACAAAAAAGGCTAGGGTCATTTGGGAAACAAGAAACAAAAAATATTTTTCCTAAGCCTTGTTGGAGTTGCCAGGTAGCCTGGCGCAAAAGTTACTACTTTTGAATCAAACTGTGTTCCAGCTCGGTCAGCATGTGAGTCATGCCTTCTGAAACAAACGGTATTGTCAGACTCAGCAACTTGAAATATCGATGGGCAACCTAGCTTCTGACTAGTGAAAACATGGTATTTCAAACCCTAATATTTACCTGAGCATGCCCTGTTGTACAGACTGGAAGCCAGGCACTTGTTCAAAGTGTGAGATATCTGTATGGAGAGGCTGTTCCTTCACCAAACTGGGCCTCTGTAGGGTCGGATGCATCAGGGTATAACCTGAAATACAGACAAATAACCTGTAAAACATCTGACCTCATAATAACATAAACTACAGTGTAATTAATATACATGTATGTTCACTAGACTGCAAGTTCTTGGGAAATACGAGTTTTTGAACACCTCAATTCTTGGTTGATGAATGATAACTCTAATATTTGAAGGCATGACTGTTTCTTGCTCTTTTCTGGGCTTTTCAGATACTTAGTGGTTGGTACGTCCACCAGTTTATTAGTCATTTTGTACATCATGCATCACGATATAGCATAACAAGAGGACAGTACATACAGGCTTCCTTCGTTGTCATTTTCAAACTAAGTAGCACCATAACTCAGTACTTGGATACTTGTCATATTTTTTGCTGTAGGTGACCTACCATTTTTATCGATGATGAAGGCATAGGTAGACTGTCCCTCCTCATAGTATGTCATGTCCTCCATCAAATCTGCCATGCTCAGGTCGATACCCACAATGCCCAGCAGTAGGTGGTCGTTTTCCCCCTTGGTATAGTAGACAGGCTGGGTGATACTGAGGATCAGTCCTGGAAGGGGAGGGGGGCATGTTTATCAAAGTGCAGGTATAGAAATGGTATTAAAAATTGACAAAAGCCATAACAACAAACCATCAAGACAAGTAGCTTTTAATAACAATCAAAATTAGATGTGCAAAGGTTAGGTCTAAGAGGTTGTTCAGTGTAATATAGCTAGTTGTCGCATACAACACTCTGTATGTGTGTGAAGCTGGTGTGTTACACGAAAGGCAGGTTATACTGGGTATATGGATACAGAAGCTGGTGTATTACACCAAAGGCCAGTTATACTGGGTAGTGCTGTGTACCTAAACCCACATTTAGGTTCAGGTCCGGATTCAAGTCCAGAGGTTTAGGTTCAGTTCTGGACTCGTGAATCCGGACCTAAACCCATGGAATATACAAAATTGCATGTTGGCAACCTTGCAATGTTGTTTGGGCAAAACTGTGGCCACATGACATGGAGGCCGACACTTGACGATGCACGATGGCAATGTTTCCTTCATTTTGCAGCACAGATTTTGTAATCCAAGGAAGGTTTTAGGTGGTTTGGTAAGAAAAGGGGATATGTGACATGACTTTATTTGTAATAAGTCCGGAATCAGTTCTTGACTTTTAGTTTTTTTGGACTTGAACCTGAACATCTTTACAAGTCCAGAACCGTCCAAGCAAACCAGTACACAGCACTAATACTGGGTACTATATAGACACAGCTAACTGAAGAATGGCTTACCCTTGCCCATCCTGTCCATGTAAGGCAGCGAGAAGTGTGTTTGTGAGCTGAGGTTGGTGCTCAGAATGGTGTAGAATCGCCCCACCGTGGAGCCCAGGTTACTGAGAGAGTTCAGCACTGTCATGGTCCCACTCTGAAGTAAAACAGTTAAAACAACGCACATTTACATGATACCTGCAGGCCTCAAAATTAACGTTTTTCCTACTGTCTTAGCACTTAGCAATTGAAAAAAAATTTCAATTGTCCCAAAGTTAGGATGTACTGTACCAACCTGTTTTTGTATGCTATATCACATCCTAAATGCTTGGACAAGCAATCTCTATCCTTTTATGTAAATATTCATGGCAATTGATGACATTACTTTCCATGCCCTAAATACGTCAGTCCCTGTCATCTTTGATGATTTATCAGTTCCCGTAACCCACTAATTAATACGCAACCACAAGAGCCATTAATCAAGTATTACATCTCTGATATATTCTACCTGCCCATAAAAATAATCTTGTAATGGGCCACATTTACATAATCATTTCCAGTTGAGTAAAGAGACTCTTTTTACTCAACCAAGTCTTTTATTCAGCCGACGTTTCGGGGGCCGTCTGTCACCTTCCTCAGGACAATTACATGATATCTGCAGTTCCCAACTAGTTCCATCACTCAGAACTTTTAAGCATTCCACTAGGTTCTCCACTAGGTCACACAACTTCACCGTCCAAATTCCTTGTTCAATATCTTTTTACAGTGACAGTTTCTTTCCCTGTACGGCCAAGCTTTGGAGTTCCCTCCCTGACAAGTGTTTCCCACCAACCTACAATCTACAGGCTTTCAAATCAAATGTTCACCAGACAGTCACCTCTTGACATAGCCATGTTTCTCTCATATTTCTAGTTCAATGCAGAGAAGTGGTCGCCAATGGCCTTGCATTGAACCACTCCGTTAAAAAAAAAAGTTTTGACTGGTGTACATTGCATTGCTCTCTTTACTCAGTGACTTACCAACCTGATGAAACTATTCACGGATCATTTCCAGTTTCCTTACCTTTACAGGCCTGGGGTTCTTGGATGCCACACTGTACTTCTGGTAGTCTTGGTTTGCGAGGTCCCGTAGGAATCCTAGCTCACTCAAGCTGGTTTTACCATCTAGAAGCAAACACAGACAAATTACATATGATCATTTTCCTTCAATAATAATTGAATTGAAGTGGGGTCGTGTGGCATAACCGTAGAGTGTACTTTTGTACAATTTCAAGGCAAAATAAGGGTTAAAAACTAGGAAAGGCAACATTTGCCAAGCAAATGCATAATGCTTACCTTCGCATATGGTCTGCTCAGAGTGTTAATTCTTACTCAAACACATTCACATATATGGTGCCAGGAGTCTAAATCCCTCCTACTATAAAATTGCAACATTATGTAATCCAACACAAGTTACCATGGTGACAGACGTCAACGAATCAGGTCATTGGCCAGGTCAGAGGTCAGTGTTTGGAACAAAAAGAAGAAGAGGAAACATAGCAAAAACAGTATGTTTTCTTCGGTAAACATAATTAAGGTTGAAAAAAGAGAGAAGTGTCCTGACCGTCGACGAGAGCATATGTCATGATGATGGCCCTGTTGTCTATCCTACTGTTCTCCCTGGCCAGTGTGCTCATGATGTTTGTTATCTCCTGTTCCTCATCAGACACGTTACCCGACCCCATGTACAAAATCAAGGCCTCTGCAACAACACAAACAAACAAACAAACAAACAAACAAGGTTCACCTCTTGTACTGTCAACAAACAAAGACATTTTACGAGCATATACCTCATAATTTTCAAGCACCAGTACTATACATAAAGGAAATATCATTTGCAGAGTGGTTTAATCTTCTTAGTTTCCTAATAAAACACATTCAGATGTGGGTGGAGGAAAAATTGAAAGGGAGAATGACAATAGGTCAAAAGGTCAGACACAGGAAATAGGGTGAACTTTCCCAGATCTCTGGTTTCTTTTCCTTACCTGTGTTGGCTCCAACGTTGTCGGCCTGGAAAGTGTTACTGATGATTGTGAAAGCTTCTTGGAACCCCAGAGCATGGTCTGTCATACCTGCAAACAAGTTTCACTCTCAGTTATGTAGTCATGACTAGGGGTGGGTACCAGTTCAGAAAATTCAGGCCCAAGTCCGGATCAGGTTCAGAGGATCAGGTTCAGGTCCGGACCTAAACCTGGACCTGATTATCGTCTTACAGTCAAGACTGTAGTACTACATCAGATATTGCTCATTAGAGTCGGTACCAGCCTCGTGGTGCACAAACTTTTCTTTCGGCTTATTTGAAGCTGAACACAGTTACAAGAAGACACAAACATGGATTTAGTTTAATTTAGTTTAATTCATGGTTATTTTCTTCATCTGCCATCATGGCCTGAATATCTAAAGATGTGTGTACAATCTACTGAAGTGTACATCAGGTCCGATGATCCGGCTTTCACGTTTCAGTTTTTTGGACTCGGTTCCAGAATGTTGTTCCGGTTTAAACCGGTCCGGCTGAAGAAAGGAAAGTTTGTCTCACCCCTGCCCAGCTTGATGTTGTCGATGAACCTGTTGAGTTTCTGTTTGACCTGTTGTGAGGCTGGAGCCAGGAGACGGCCGAAACACTCGTCTTCCGAGGATGTCTTCACCCTACCAGACAAGCTCAGTACTGCAACCTACAGGAACAAACAGGCTCTTAAGTATGTAAGGAAAATAGGGTAGGAACAGACTTACTATAAAAGTCATAGCAAAAATGATAAGTCCCTTCCATGAGTGTGGTAGTGTTCTCAAGGCCATCCCTCAATAGAGACGGGGGGCGCCACAGACTGCAACAGCCAACCTATAATCCAGTGCTTATGGAGTCACGTGTGTTATCTGTGTGACACAGGGCTTTAGCCAGCGCCCGTTTTACCGTCAATTGACGGTAATTTGTCCCGTCTGACGGTAAAAATTTTAGTCCTTACCGTCAACATTGACGGTCAAAAATCGTGGGTAAAGACATGGAAAAAATCTAGCGAATTTGAATGAGCCACGGTGCGGCGTCTTTTCCAAACGCACGGCGGCGGGAAACCTGATAATCAAGGACCGTGCCGACGTCTGTTGACTTGGCTCCATTGTTCAATGTTGCTGTCTGTTAAAACAACATGTGCTAACGGCCACATAAGAATAAAATAAAACAATGGCTCGACTCAGACACACGCTGCTAACTGTACATGACAATACGATAAATAAACATGTGACAACGAACAAAGAAATATCAAACGTTTTTTAATAATATACTGTACTTGAATAATCATACTATCGCAAGAAAACGGAGATTGATCCACACAATGTGGCCTTATTTAATCTAAAACTTCGTCAGACCTCCTTCGCGCGAAGACTTGAGCGGCAGCATAAAGATTTCTGGAGGATCGCTGACACGCGAGTTTTTGCCGGCCACGTAACTCCCTCCGCGGCAAAATCCCCTATGCCGTAGCGAAATCACGTCTCAGCGCTTCCCCAAGTCAACTTCATGGCCGCTAAAGTCCGCAAAGGAGTTGTAACTTCCTCATTTCGGTAGAGAAGCGAAGCTGACAAGTAAAATCATGTACATGTCGGCCATTTTGTTTGCTACCCGAAGTCTTCCGAACGCTCTAAATAAGGAAATCGTCGGAGATCTGAGCCACATCGCCCGCTGTCGGTCAGCGCTCGGGCCCGGCTCGGTGGAAATCGGAGGCTGTGACGTCATGAGTAGGTTCATTTGCATGGCCGCGGCTTGAATCGCGGCGGGATTTGAGCGGATCAAAACAAAGGGCATAGCGGATTGTTCATTGCGTGTTGTCTCCTTGTGAGAACTGTAGTTTTTTTTTTCATTCTGCAAAATTGCAGGTTGTGTAGTTTTTTTTTTTTTTTGCAATCTTGACGGGTATTTAGAACACCGAATGCATTAAGTGTGCGGGAGGGCGTGATGTCGATCACCGGATCGTGAAAGACATTCTTTAAAAGTAATCATTGACGGAATTTTTTTTTCGCGTTGACGGTATTTTTTTTTCGCGAATTGGGTTGACCTGGGGTTGACGGTAAAAAATTTCGAGCTGGCTAAAGCCCTGGTGTGACATCACGGAAGCGGTGAATTGCTCATTCCTTGACAAAGACTGGATTGTACAGTTGAAAATTTGGGTGAGTCCAATTTTGTTTGTCTTGGAAATCACAGTTTAATCTTTTTCATAGTGTTCTTGAGGCATTGGCCTAGGAAAAAATGTTGTGTTTCTTATTTCAGTCCTGAAAAAGTTGGGTTGGTAGGTAGGGATTATCTTTATTTTTTTTTTTTTTTTTTAATTAGACTTTGGTAATCTCTATTGATCCAAATTATACAAGAGAGTTTAACAAAGTAAAACTTGCATGAGGACACTTATATTTTCAATGTCAATGTTGGAAAACTGATTGTACAACATTTCGTCACTCAGGTGTCAAATCATGATCATGAAGCTAGAGAAGTTAATCAGCTTGAAAAAGTATGTCCCTTTCAGGGGTCCATCAAAAAGGCTAGTTTTTCTAGCGTCGGTCAGGAAACAGGAAACATTTTTTCCAAGGCCACCCCACATTGTAAAACAACATACCTTGTCCTGCTCCATGAGTGTTGAGATGACCATCTGTGCTGCTTGTTTAGCAATGCGTAACTTGTCCTCGCTCAATGCCACCCCCCTGTCCACTACAATCACTACATACTTAGGGCTGGGCCTCACAGTAGCAGAGTATAGAGGTCTGGAACAAAGACACAGTATTTCAAGGATATGACACAATAAGTGCTGTGTACCGGTTCGCTGGGCCAGCTGGACTTGTAAAAATGTTTAGGTTCAAGTCCAAAAAAACCTAGAAGTCAAGAACTGATTCAGGACTTATTAAAAAAAAAAACATGTCACATAACCCTTTTCTTTCCAAGCCACCTAAAACCTTCCACAGATTGCAAAATTTGTGCAGCAAAATGAAGAAAACATTGCCATTGGGCATCGTCAAGTGTCGGCCTCCATGTTATGTGGCCACAGTTTTGCCCAGACAACATTGCAAGGTTTATTCCAACACACACATTATACAGAGATCAAATTTTCAGCGACCACTGATCTTCAGGGTTATAATAGTGTACCTGTTTCTGTGTTCGAAGCCCTCATCACATCTGTAGTCGCGGTGTCTGTGCCTGGTGGAGAACCTGTGCGCCGGGAACACGTTAAAGATGCCGTCCTCCGAACTGAAGTACTGCCACTTCAGGAAGGGAGAAGCCTCCAGGTTTTCTACAAACACTGCGAAAAAAAAAACAGACACAAGTTTACAAGGATATCTTTTTAAAAAATTAGTGAGTCCTCATTAAACTATGATGGTAACATTTGCATTTAGCGAATGCATAATGTTTACCTTTGCCCACAGTCTGCTCTGTTAATTCTTACTCAAACACATTGATTTCATATATATGGTCAGGCAGAAGTCTAAATCCCTGCTGCTATAAAATTGCAACAACCTAACACTAGTTACCATGGTGACAGATGTCTGGTTCAGGTCATTGATCTTCTTAGTTTGGAGAAGAAGAGGAAACAGAGCAAAAACAATATGTTTTCCTTCAGTAAACATAATGAGTGAAAAATCCATGGCTCAGCAACCTGCCAAGACCAACAAGTTGTGTTCTAGATATAGTGAATGCTATTGATAAACTAGAGAAGTTTAATATTTAATGTTTACCTTCGGACAAGGTCTGCTCTGTTAATTCTTACTCAAACAGATTCCCATACGTATGTACATTGTACTACATTGTACTATTACATGGTGACAGGAGCAGAGCAGACCATAAAATTGCAACATTATGTAACCCAACACCAGTCACCATGGTGACAGACGTCAACAAATTAATCATGTCATTGGTCAGGTCAAGTCATTGTTTGGAGAAGAAGAGGAAGAAACTGTGAAAAAACAATATGTTTAAATGTCTACAATTCAAGTTAGAAGTAGGTATTCTAAATAAGACAATATTCATCAGTCCTACCTTTGGTGAGGTTTCTGCCAGGGTTAAACATGCGTGACGGGGTTCCGGTGGCTATTCTGTCACAACTCAGACTTCTGGAGATGTTTGTCTGGAACGTACTGTCAAATCTACCAGGACAACAAACAAACAAACAAACAAACAAACAGTTAACAGGTTTAACTTAAAGTAGTTCCAAGCTGCTTCTATACTTCCTAACTAGTGCTGTGTACCTAAACCCACATTTAGGTCCAGGTTTGGATTCAAGTCCAGAGGTTTAGGTTCTAAACCTATGGCATAGACAAAATTGCATGTTTGCAACCTTGCAGTGTTGTCTGATAGCAAAACTTTGGCCACATAACCTGGAGGCCGATACGATGCCCAATGGCAATGTTTTCGTCGTTTTGCAGCACAGATTTTGCAATCTGTGGGAGGTTTTAGGTGGTGTGGAAAGAAAAACGGGCATGTGACATGTTTTTTTTTTTTGTAATAAGTCTGGAATTGGTTCTTGACTTTTAGGTTTTTTTGGACTTGAACCTAAACATTTTTACACATCCGGAACAGGTCCAGCGAACCGGTACACAGCACTAATCATGCATGGCTACGAATAAACTGCTATTTTTTCCTTGAAGTACTCAACCCCAAACGAGGTGCTACACTTACTGCAGGAGTGAATTGTCCAGATAACAGCAGTCGTTCCTGTGAGTGAGAATGTGCCGGAGGTGGGACCTGTACAGGCTCCGCACAGAGTGTCTCAGCTGGTCCAGCGCGCCAACGTAAGTATTCAACTTGTCCCTGAGATTTCTCCTCAACTAATGGTTAAAAAGAAAATACAACACATATGAAAACTTGAAAGGCCGACATTTGCTCAGGAGCAAATGCAGCAGATGGCTTCACCACATCCCTTGTACCAAAAACAGACCTATCCCCCTCCAGCAAAAATGGACTGTTCCTAAATGAAATGTTCCAATAGTCTGCACCCCCATGCAGCAATGGAATCTTCCAACGACTTCTGCTGTTGGAACATGCAGAACCCTGGTAAAAACCCGAGTGTTCTATTTAGACCTGTCAGTTGGGGATTTGGGTTTTCAAGATGCATATAATCACTGTTTTTACTCAAAATAAGGTAAATAAAAGTATTTTAAAGGGTTGAATCTGAAAAGTGAACAGTACTAAGTGGTGTGATGAAGCCATAACAATCCAATTATTAGCTAAAACGTTAGAAATCAACAGACAAAAAGATGTGTCTTTTATTGGTAATGTAATAAGTCTAATTTCCCTAACCCTCAATACATATACTTCTACGTACAAAACAATTTCTGAACTTGAAATAAGTAAGTTTAAATTCAATACCAGCGACAAAATTACTCTTCTTAACTCTTAAATATCATGCCATGCAACTTGATCACATACCTGTTGTATTGTCTGTTGTTCATTTGATGATTTTACTGAGTATGACAAAGAGTCGTAGATTTTCTGAAATAGAAAAACATTGAACAGCGTCATATTTACATGTGCAGTCAAATATCCAAACAAACATAAACTGGCTGAGAGAGAAACAGGTAGCCTTACTAGGGCTTGAAACTAGTTTTTGGGAATAGGTGTATTGGTGCAATTACTAGTAACCTGAAGATTCTGGTGTACAGAAAAAATTTGGGTTAAAAACACAATACAATCTGAAAATAGAAAAAAAACTGCTGCCCAATTCGACCACATAATGAAATCTCTGCAAAAATAAACAAACTTGAAGTTGAAGTATTCAGAACATCCAGAATATATTTTGCAATGCATAGTTATTGCTACTGCCCCATCCATGCATGGTATGTATCAGAACCCCCCCCCCTTCAGGTTGTCATTGGTAGGTGCATCTGCCTGAATGAAACAGTGAGCTTCCCACATAAAAATCAATGGGGCATTTCACTCTATATCCCCACATGAATGAACAATCTCACTGTGGCCACAGAATAAACCAGGACATTAATGACTGTATCAAGGGAATGCTCCATCATTTACTCATCCTAAATTAGTCGAAATCAGCGCTAAGGAATCAAACACCTACTAAATATATTTCTTTAGTTTGTATTCAGACCTTGAAATTCATTTAAGTGTAGTATACTGGTAGTCTAAACATCTCGGTGCATGGGAATTATATTTCATATAGAGCTTGCAATTTGATATTATATACTCACTGTAGCTTTGAAATACATGTATTATAGTGATTGGGTATTACATTTATTTATTTAGGGCAACAAAGGTTTTATTATATTTCTAACACTTAGAATTAGATGTCATGAGATAAGATAGGGAGTCTCAAGTATATGTAAAAATTAGGTGCAGACTTTTTCCATTTTTGGGTGCAGAAAAGTGCATATACACCCAGTGTTCCGAGCCATATTGGATAACATTTCGACAATAACACATCAGTTTTGTACAGTAAGCAAGGGCTATGGAAAACAAGATTGAGATAAGATGGACAGCTTGCTTTAGATTAAAATTGGAGAGAAATTTTCTTAATTCACCTTCTTTCCAAATTTGCAACAGAAATAACTTGCCAGCTTTTAATATTAACATTTATGATTTCAAAACAAAAATACTTTCACTTTCTTTCTCCCACAAATATTCTATCAAGACGATGCTTCCTTCAAGAAATGGACGTTGTTTGTTTAGATTCCGTTCCAAAATGAAGAAAAAGGGCGAAGAGGGGCCTGGGCTTAAACGTGTAACCTTGTGCCTCTATTTTATCTGAGTTCTCAGCACTAGAAAGGTCACATGTAACCACAAGGGAGGACATAAAGACCTCAGGCACAAAGGTGGCTCTTGTATCCATCCATTTCTCCCCTAAAGGCCACAGCAAGTCATTTTTATGGATGACATCAGGGTGAGCATAAATTTTCGCCCGATTTTGGAAAATAAACAAGAAATTTTGTTGCCTTCTGGGAGTGGTCAATATGCCGAAAATGGGCAAAGATGTCTGTTGTCAAGCCGGAAGGTGGATGGCAGATAACTATCAAGAGAGGAGACAAGAAAAGGCTCTGATTTAATGTTTTATTTCTTACTTTGATGAAGTGATATGTGATGCTGACTGTGTATTTGTGATATTCCCACTGAATCAAATCCATTTGTACAATGATTGAGTCAAAATTTTAAAATGTAGGAACCCTGTCTTTCTTAGCCCGCCTTGTTTCTTTTCGCCCGTTCGCATTAGATTTGGAGTCTGTGGAGGATGTCATACATAAAATTGACTTGCTATGGCCTAATGTCACTGACAGCAAGGCAAGGGCAGTCAAAGGGGGGACTAAATAATGCATTATCTCTGGGGTTCCCACATCCAGGACTGCCACATGGACAAAATTCTGCTCTTTCTCGTCTTTCGGATGGCAAAAATCAATACAGTTTACTTACATCTTAATTAATAACTGACTATTAATTCATGACACCGCACCACTAGGGTATTAATAGTATTACTGGGTGACCTGCTGCCCATAATGTGATTATCAAATGTCAACTTTTGCAAACAGAAAAAAAATATTGTGAAACAAATCCTTTGACAACAACAGCATGGCACTCCCCAAGCAAGGGACCAAGGGTGCTCCCCTTCTCCCCCAAATCCTAGAACCAAAATGTTCAAATTTAGGGTTTTCTCTTCATATTTACAATACATGAAAATTTTTCATCAACCGATTAGGGAGCACCTCTCCCATCAGAATTTAAGGGGAGACCCCTGAACAGCAATTTTGCAAAAAAAAAATGTGCTTTTAGAAATCAGTAACTGATCATTGCAGTACCAATTTCAAATTTGTATCATGCAAACTGCAACAGGCAGAAAAAGTTAAATCACTCTGTACAGCAAAAATCTGACCTGAGACAACTGTATAAATCCTAACAAAATTAGGGTACTGAAATCTTGACAACTTTGCAATAATTTGTTGAGGTTGTGGTTTTATTTTATTGCAGAAGGGGAAAGGTTTTCATGGTGATTATTTAAGTTGAAACAATTCTGCGGTATAATTTTTACATATTTGCTCAGCACTAAGTGACTAACAGCTTACTGTGAAAATAAATTTTAAAAACCATCGTAAACATTTGAAGCTTTGTATGTACCTTCTTTTCTTCACATTGTCATGACTGGCTTTTGAAGTTCAAATGAGACGAAACGCACACGGGGGTGCAAAACAAATGCCTGTTGACTGATTTTTCACATTTACTTGCTAAGTGTTTGTACTCAACATGATTTACGTGCAAGCTGCTATTTTTTTCTCCCACTGTATAATATGGTCAAAGGTACGTGTACGTGTGAATTGGTGACAAAGTCATCCAAGCAAATACCTGGTAGTTGTCATAAGCAAGCAATTTTTCTCTAAGTCAACGTGCATGGGATAGGTTACATTCTAAGAAAGGTTTTTAACCAAAAAAAGAGAGAGAATTTCATCATTCTTCAGGAGAAAATGGCAAATGTTGACCATGAAAATATCTAAGGCTTTTTGGCCATCTCTAAGACAGCCCTAAAATGCAATTCATTATTTACATTTGAATTGGGTGTGGATATATTAGTCTGTTTACCACATACTGTATATTTTCTTATTTTTGATCATAATACTATAAGATCAAAAAGTATATGCTTCTGTAGCACATACGAAGACGAAATTGTTCAGCTTATTTGGGTGAAAACCTCCAGGCAATACATACTTCCTAGTCCCTTGATGTAAGACCGAACCAAATTATGTTTTTCACAAGTCTTTTCCAACATGCCAAACACACAACTCGGCCATCTGTGCGTTTGGTGAGATCAAAGAAGCTCACAAAAACCTTTCATTTTAACGTCGCAAGTACAGAAAGGGAATTCCTGACTACATACAGATGTGAGGAGAATTCTAGGTACGTACCTGCATGGGTAAAACGCCGACTTTTTCGTCTCCAAGCCGGTGAAGTGTGTCTGCTAAAGCACGGGCAGCCACTTCTACAGTCACCTCCATCTCGTCTCTCACGGGCGGCATTCTGCCGAAAAGGCTCCCCAGATCGAACGGCAAATCCCCGCCTGTAGAGTCAGGGTGGTCCCCGCTCACATCCCGCTTGTCTAAGCTTCTTTCCCTGCTGGCAGTGTGAGGAGAATCCAAGCCCGAGTCGCCCAGAGTGGTCCACAAAAGAACCATAAACAGGGCGGCATGCGACAACAATCGAGTTCCAGCCGCCATCTTTGTTGTTGGACGACTTTTACCTCCAAGGAAAAGAAAAAGGAAAATTTCTGAGGGAAAACTGCACGGATTCACCTCATGTTGCACGCCGTGATCCTCGGGAATGCCCGCAAAATATCCAGTAGCTCTTGGACGCACGTTGGGACTGCGTAAAACCGCAAGCGGAGAGAAACAATTCCAGTTATGCTTTCTTGAGGCGCCAGAAAACTTTGCCAAACGCAGCCATCGGAGTCGGACACAAGGAGAAGCTGCACCCACATTCGCCTAACCATTCGAGGGAAAATGATCAAAAATCGAATAAGAACCCAATCTGAGTTAACTTATAGACCGAAATGACTACATAATCTCTTAAATATATTAAATATTACAACTGATGGATTCTAGATGAGAAAAATGACATCATTTAGGATTTGTATTTTTACACACCTGGTATCTGATCAGTTTCAAATAAGCCACTAGGTTTACGCTCGATAACAGCCTTGCCTTTTGACGTTACATTGTATGTGTAGGGGACTTATATTAGTTACGTACATCAAAGTGATAAATCTATTTTATCTTAGACCAATTTCTTAACAAAGTACATGTTTAAAAATGTTTCCATGCTTTTAATTATCATTTGAATGCTGTTTCTTTGATCAATACAATATTTTTAATATCTTCAAAGCCTCATTTACCCCTTCAGTTTGGTATCGTCCACTTAGCGGACAACAAACATGGCAGCCACCATAGGAACAAAATTGCCCATCTTCAGGAGGTTTTCGCAAATGTTGTTCGCTAGCTTTGGTTCTGTCGGCAGTAAGAGATGCTGGCACGGTTTTTTAAGCCCATTCACCTGCTCTTCATGTCAACAAAATCGTCTGTTCCGAACAAGCAATGGTAATGCCATGGAGTTTTGTGTTTGGGTGCCGGTGTTCCCATCTTCAAAATTATATAACGTTATAAAAAAAAATTATGATATGTTGTTAAATTTCGTTGATTTTATGCTATGTAACCAAATTTCTAATCTGAGCTTGGAACTAGTACTCAAGATTTTACTCCCGAATGGAGTTAGGAAACTCGTGAAAGTGCCTTTCCCACGGGCATGTCAGGGATTCGAACCCACAACCTCCTAACACACGGATCCTAACACACCACTGTCATAATTTTGTTTATGGAACTTTTGTGTCATTTTTCCTGTAGGTCCCTTGAGACACGGAGATTTCGAGTATCAAGACCCAAAGTCGGAGGATGAGATGTAAGTGTGCACTTCAACATTGTACAGCTGGTGAACATTTTAAACAATTACGAAGCGGAGAATCCAAGAACCAACAAATTATAATTTTTGGGTTACGTTACATTATCCAGCAGGACAGAGCTGGAGGGGCTTGTCTATGAGTCCAATGTACTAGGATATGAATGTGTTTGAGCAAGAATAAACAGAGCTATAGTTTGTTAGGCTAGACCCTCTGACATTATGCATTTGCTTTGCAAATGTTACCTTTTATTATTTATTGCTTTTTATTCACCACAGAGTCAACATTACCTATGTTACAAAAGATGGAGAAAGAATCCCGATTCGGGGGAAGATCGGAGACAATGTCATGTACCTGGCACATAGATATGATATCCCCATTGAAGGTAAGTGCCTCTTCTAATTCATTTATACAGATATGCAATATGCAAAAACTCAGTACATACGTACAGTGCAGATTCATAAATTCCGCAAAAAGCCAGTATGTGCCGGCTTATCGCATACATCGCTATGTACTGCCGCAAATTCACAATGCCAGCTTGTATTCCTGTGGTTTAGTGGCATTTTTATTTTTGGCCAGAATTTTTTTTTTGTTCGCCTGCGCACACTAGTTTGAGTGTCTTCAGAGGATGTCATCCACAGAATTAAGGCAGTGTGGCCTAAAGTAGAATTTATATGTACCACTAAGAACTGTTTGGCTAAGTGGTTTACTGAACCAATGTGTCCTTTTCTTCCCCCCATGTTACAGGAGCGTGTGAGGCCTCCCTTGCCTGTTGCACCTGTCATGTTTACGTACATGATGACTACTCAGACAGGATTCAGGAGCCTACAGAAGAGTCAGTATATCATTCACTGTTCACCAGATGCTCTGGCAGTTTTGTGTAAAATAAATTCTAACCAAGTCACATTTATCATGTAACAAACATGTACTACAAAAGAAAGCCTTGCTTCTAGTATATTGGTGAGGTCTAGAAATAAAGGTATGACAGGATTTGATCCTAATTTTATATATAATATTGTTTTTGCTATGTTTCCTCCTCTTCTTCTTCTCCAAACACTGACCTTACCAATGACCTGATTTGTTGATGTCTGTCACCATGGTAACTGGTGTTCCCGGGTCACATAATGTTGCAATTTTATAGTAGGTGAGATTTATACTCCTGTCTGACCATATACATGTATATGTATTTGAGTAAGAATTCACAGAGCAGACCAGAAACATTATGCAAAGGTAAACATTATGCATTTGCTTTGCAAATGTTAACTTTCTAATCATTTACTTCAAACTGTATGACATTTGATCCAATTTTTTGTCCTCCCCAGGGAAGAGGACATGTTGGACATGGCACCATTTTTACGTGAGAGTTCCAGACTCAGTTGTCAGATTGTTCTGAGTAAGGAGCTAGACGGGATAGAAGTCACCCTACCTCAGGCCACCAGGAACTTCTATGTGGACGGTCATGTACCTGAACCTCACTAGTATCTGTAGTAGGAACTACTGACTGAGACTGTTCTGTTAGCTCCGCCCATGAGGTGTCGCCAAAAAATAAATGTCATGAATGAACAAACATGCCCTGCTGATTCATATCAGAGTAGTACAAAATGTAATCATCACAGTGCAAAGTTTACCAAAGTGATTATACTGTTTTAGTAGGAATGCGCAACTATTTTTGTTGTTCTACATCATGTGATGAATAAATGTACAATTTGTCCTCAGTTGTGTGGACTCCTTTCTGTATGCCAGGATGTTTCAATTTCTGCTGCTACAAGCATAAAAGGATATTTATACCTTTTACGGCCAGATAACGTATAATCTGATGCCTAAATTGAAATGTTTGTTATACAATAGTACTATATGTTACGAGTCTAAAAAAAAAAGAATCGGTTCCCAACATTCAGTTTCTTTGGACTCTAGGTCCAGCCAAATTACCTCCAGTTGTCATTAGTGCTGTGTACCTAAACCCACATTTAGGTTCAGGTCCGGATTCAAGTCCAGAGGTTTAGGTTCAGTTCTGGACTCGTAAGTCCGGACCTAAACCCATGGAATATACAAAATTGCATGTTGGAACCATGCAATGTTGTTTGGCCGACACTTCAACGATGCCTAATTACCATGTTTTCTTCATTTTGCAGCACAGATTTTGCTATCTATGGGTTTTAAGCGGTTTGGAAAGAAAAGGGGGTATGTGACATGGGTTTTTTGTTTTTAATAAGTCTGGAATCAGTTCTTGACTTTTTTTAGACTTGAGCCTAAACATTTTTACAAGTCTGGAACCGGTCCAGCGAACCGGTACACAGCATTAGCTGTCACTGAGGAACATTACCAATATCACTCACAAAACAAAAGCACCAGATTATGTCGTATGTGTTGCAGTCATGTTTGTAAATTCAAAGATAAACAACAAAGTCACAACATCAGGTACATACAACACTGACACCAGCTAGACCAATATGGTCTATCTAAATAGCAGCTAAACATTTTTCTTTGAATTCATATTCACATGATTTTTTCTACCTCTGTCAGTCAACTGTTGCCTGAGTTTATAAAAAGTATGCATATGTACATGTATTATAGTTACAGTCATGTTGGCTTTGGTTATAGCAAGTTATCAAGCACCCAAACTTTACTTTGTACCAACAACATTTGAAGTCTATATCATGCAGAGCTATACTCAAATGTGTCATGAAGAAAGGACAAATACTAAGTATAGTAATAAAAAAAAAACCACTTTAAAACCTTGTATAAATGCAGATAATGAATTTCAAAAGTTAGGAAATTGATTACAACAAATTAAACTGATGCTAGTATCACTTCAAGGGCCTAATTTTGATAGGGCATTGGGCTGGTTTGTCTGTAATATGATTTAAAGTCATTCAGCATCCTTTGATTGGTATTTGCATTGAGGCACACATTCAACATTAACAGAATTGAGGCCAAGGCACCAAATTCACACCAAACCATGGTGTTTCGCTAAGGCCACACCAAGTAAATTTTATGGATGACGTCCGCGCGCGCATTGATTTTGGCCTGTTCCTAGAAAAACAAACAAGAAATTCCGCTTCCTGTAACTATGACCAAAGAGTCACGACAGTGCTGCAAATCGTCAGATTGACGTGAAACCCGTAACGCAAAAACAGGACAGGACGACAACTGATGTTCCACCTGTTTTATTGCTGTTTTGATGATGAATAAAAGACTTCTTGCTTGTTACACTGTGTCACCTCATTCAAATTGTGTCCTAACATTTGTCGTCTCTTACTATTTTACTGATCTAAGCCTCTTGTTTTTTAGGGCCCTTCTTGTTTTTTTTCCGCCCTCTCGCATTAGATTTAGGGTCTCCAAAGGACGTCATCCATAAAATTTACTTGGTGTGGCCTAACAGGGAAAAAAGTAAATGGTACTTTCTGTAACAGGGAAAAGGTACTATAATGATAATTTCTGTAACAGGAAAAAAGGACTATGGTACTTTCTCTAACAGGAAAAAGTACTATATATGGTACTTAAAGTAACATGAAAAGGTACTATGGTATTTTCTCAGGAAAAAGTACTAGTACTATAATGGTACCTTCTGTAACAGGAAAAAAGTACTAATGGCACTTTCTGTAACAGGAAAAAAGTACTGGTACTTTAAGTAATGGTACTTTAAGTAATGGTACTTTCTGTAACAGGAAAAAAGGACTGTACTATGGTACTTTCTCTAACAGGAAAAAGTACTATCATGGTACTTTCTCTAACAGGAAAAAAGTATTGCTAGTAGTATGGTACTTTCTCTAACAGGAAAAAGTCTTAAGTGTGATCTAAAGTCCGATCTGTAATGATCACTTTCCACTTTCTGTACAACTTGCACACTTCCACGATGAGTACATGTTAACCATAACGAGTATCCTACTGGAGTTTTACATGATCTCCTACTGGAGTTTTACACAGTCTCCAGGTGCTCCTCATCCAGGTTGTGTGTCCAGGCCACCAGGTCATCCACCTCCTTCTCCCAGGGTTCCTCCGTCTCCTTGGGAGGAGCAAAGTCTTTGGTGTCACTCGGGGTGGGGGTGGATGGTTCTGGAAGGAAAGAAACAAATCATGAAGAACTAGATTCAGGAAGTTCTGTTGCGTATCTAAAAAGAAAGTCAAGATAGAAGCCACGCGTTATGCATCCTAGTTTCTAGGGGGCCTGCAAGTCCTTTTTCGTAAGGCGTAAATCAGGTTTAGTCTTCGTAATCCGTAGGAAGCCTCCCCAAAAATCAACGTAATTCGTAATAGTACATTAGCCGCAAAGCGTAAAGTCGTAATCAGCTCTGAGACTTTAACGTAATTCGTAATCGGCAGCAAAAATTTTGCGTAGGTCGTAATCACTACCCCCCATGCAGGCCCTCTTTCTGTAATGCATTTGCAGCAAGGAATGGAGGATTTCAGTCACACCTTTGTAGAATATGGAGTTGTAAATTTCTTGTTCATTTTCATAATTATGAGTTTCTATCATATTTTGCACATTCCGCTGTCATCCACATGCAAGTCCTCAAGTTCTTCCAGCTTGCAGTGCAGTAAATGAGTTTTTTTCAGTTTTATCCTAACATTTTTCCCTACCTGTTATTCTTTTGGACATGTAAACTTTCCTCATCTGGTTAATCTTCATGAGTTTCTGTTCCCGTTGGTCGTCCATCTTTCCCGGATCTGCAAACTTCCCGTACATGAGAGCATTGTGCCTGGAGAGAGAGGGAGAAAAATACAATTGACATTTGCTTCCACTTTTAAACTAGATTTGCAAATGCATAATGTTTACCTTTGCATATGGTCTGCTCTGTTAATTCTTACCCAAACACATTCATATAATATATTGTATGGTCAGACAGGAGTCTAAATCCCTCCTGCTATAAAATTGGAACATGATGTAACCCAACACTAGTTACCATGGTAACAGACACAACATTGGTTCAGCAATGTACCTATCCTTGGACCTGCTAAGGATTCATGCCCAGAATTTTTAGATTCTTTCAACAACCCTTCAATGCATCTTGCAAGAGTTGTTATTAGTTATAATAGAATATGGATAGAAAATTACTGTACTTACTCCTCCAGTTGTCTCTTCATCTGGTCCTGTAGCTGCTCCACAGTCAGACCGTAGTGAGAGGATTGTCGTACTGGGTCATCACGGATGGACTCTAACACTGAGGAACAAAGATCACATTTAAGATCTTAGTTTTCTGTAATATTTAGCCAGCGCAACACTGACAACTGAATCGTAGTTTCTTTGTATTCAGCGTTATACTGTCAATGACCTTGTCAATGACCTTCAGCCAAATTTGCAGAACGTCAGAAGGTCACCAAATTTCAAAAGCTGTGTTTTTGCACGGACACACTGTTCCTTTTACATTTTTCCTACTGTGTGATGCCAGCTTAATGCCTAAAAAATCTGGCTTCCACTACTTAACCTTTAGCATGTAATGAAGCTGCTGTTTCTGCCAACCCATACCAGAGTTCGAAATACTGGGTGCACCCAAATATTTTTGTAGGCTTAGTAACATATTCTTAACACCTAAGTTTCAGAAAAATTATAAAATCATTGTTGTAGTACTTTTCTTTAGAAATGAAACATAATAAGTTTTTGATGACAGTCCACTTATTTTATTTTATATGGTGCACCCCAAAAAATTTTGTGCACCTATTCACAAAAATGAATTTCCAGCCCCGCATACTTACAAGGGTTTTTCATAGCAGGAGTGGCTTTTGATGTTGCTATCCCGCTCCATGTGGTGTGGTACTCATCAAACGAAACCTTCCTTGTCTTAATGCCCGCGGTCTTGGCAGCCGGCGCTACAAAGGGCTGGAAGTCTCGCCTGATCTTCCTCTCATCTTCAGCATGGGGGCTCAGACCAGCTAAACAACACAGAGACCCATATTTTATATTTTCATATACATGTAACCAGAAGACGTTGACCAATCAGAGGGCTCCATTTCCCATGCGTTATCAGGCCATAACCTAAAAAGTGGGAGGTTATTCAGATAACCGCCCACTTTTTGGAACGTACCATGACACTAACAGACTACAAGTCTAGTATTTATCTATTAGGCCACACCAATTTTTATGGATGACGTCCTTTGGAGACCCTAAATCTAATGCGAGAGGGCGAAAAAAAAACAAGAAGGGCCCTAAAAACAAGATGCCTAGATAAGAAATGTACTAAGAGACGACAAATGTTAGGGCACAATTTGAATGAGGTGACACAGTGTAACAAGCAAGAAGTCTTTTATTCGTCATCAAAACAGCAATAAATCAGGTGTAACAGCAGTTGTCGTCCTGCCCTGTTCTCGCGTTACGGGTTTCACGTCAATCTGACGATTTGCGGCACTGTCGTGACTCTTTGGTCATAGTTACAGGAAGTGGAATTTCTTGTTTTTTTTTCTAGGAACAGGCCGAAATCAATGCGCGGGCGGACGTCATCCATAAAATTTACTTGGTGTGGCCTTACAAAATGTATTGTAATCTATTTTGAATATTTTTTTTATTTTTTGAAAATACAGCACAATTAAATGAGATTTGAACTGAAACATACAAAACATGATTTCAGACACCCCCACTAAAAGTAGTACAGTTCCAATGTTACAATTTGGGCTTCATTCAGGACCTGAATACCTAGTACATGTACATGCAACAAATAGTTTTTTGAGGCCTGGAATGTCTATCTGTCCTTACCGTGGACCCGTTTGCTAGCATCCACACAGCTGCGAACCATCTCCAGATATCTGTCAGGGTTTGTCAGCAGCATCTTAGCAGCATCCTCATTCACAGCATCTTCTACTACAGGGTTAGACAGGAGGGTCTGCAATACAGGAATATAGACAATCATCATCTGAGGTCACAGCAAGTCAAATTCATGAATGACATCTTAAGTAGACTTCAAAGCTACTGCAAGAGTAAAATAAACTATGATGGAAAAAAGACTTTCAATTTTAAGACCATACATATGCCGGTAAATGTTAGCCTAATTCTTAAGAACTTCATGATTGCGTCATTGCAAAGGTATGGTGGTGGCCAGTTTCTGAACGCTAGGCGCTATCCCCAACTTCAAACAGCCAGCAGCGCTCTAAACTACGATGGACTAACGAACTAAGTGTAGAAATCCCTTTTCAGACATACCATGCATGACAAATTGAAGGATTTTATCAAACCTTTTGTGTCCCTTTAAATATCCCTTCCACCTACACTCAAGGCAAGGCTACCACACACAGTAGTACTTGAATCCACATAAAGCTAGCTGTCTTCACCTGTATAGACAACAGTATGTGCACCAAACTGTAGGATTCCTTCCATTCCTGCATGTTGTCCAGGTAGTCTATACATGGTCTGCCTGAGATAGAATGTACTAGGAAAACACAAAAACAACCATTGTTACATAATAATATCATAGCAATACAGAATCAGTACCCACTAAGGATCTCTCTCTTTATATCAAAAAAACATATTAATACATTAATCCTTCTAATCTCTCATGTCTTTTAAATCTAACTCAACAAATTAAAAAGCTTTCCTAGTTCAATGGGGGCCCGCATGCCTTTTTTCGTAAGGCGTAATCAGGCCTTTTTAGTTTTCGCAATCCGTAGGCAGCCTCCCAAAAAATCAGCGTAGTTCGTAATCGTACATTAGCCACAAAGCGTAAAGTCATAATCAGCTCGGAGAATTTAACGTATTTTGTAATCAGCAGCAACAATTTTTCGTAATTCTTATTAACTACCCCCCATGCAGACCCTCTATAATGTATAATTATTTTGTTATATTTAAAATTGCAGAAATAATAACTGCAGAACTCACCATTAGGATGGAATGGAATGGTGTGGAAGGCCACTTCTGGAGGTTCCTCGTTATAAAACTCATTAAACTTCAGCTGAACCTGAAATATTCCACCTGAGAAAAAAAAATGAGAAGAAAACTCAACAATACAAAACAAAGACTGTTGTCAATCTTATTATCACTATTGCTGGAAATATAAGGATCATAATATTGCAGAACTTAAGCAGATTTACACTTACCTTCCCATATTGTATCCTTGAGACCCATAATTGTTGCTGACCACTCAAAAATGTTCTCATCTCCAACTGGACCTGCATCGATTCCCTAGAACAAGAAATCAGCTCAATCAAAAACTATCTTACCGATTCTTACGAGATTTGGCCATATGCATGATGTACAAAATGACTAATAAACTGGTGTGCGTCCCAACTACATGTACTAAGTACCTAATACCTGCCCAGAAGAGAGCAATAAATAGCCATCCTTCAAGTACCAGAGTCATCAACCAAGGATTGAGGTGTTCAAGAATTCATTCTTTCCTACAACTATCGCAGAGTGGAACTCACTGTCACCAAATACAGTAGGGCATCATCATTAGATAGCTTTAAACAATGTCTAGAGTTAGAAGTTCAAGGGCTAGGACACTGTAACAAGTCGATCGGTGTAATGTAGCCAGCTGCCGCCGTGCCGCGTGCCTGCGAAGCTGGTGTGTTACGCCAAAAGGCGGTTATACCAGCTATACAGAATACAGAATGATTTCTTTCTAAACTGTGTTTTATTGTTCGTTTATAGATCCAACTGATCATGGCCACCAGACTTACCCATGGAGGGTCGTCATGTAGTCTGTAGAACTCTCTCTCCAACAGTAGATAGGATCTGGAATGCATGTTGGTGTTTCTGCAACCTTCCACCCTGGTGACAAAAAACACATTCATTTATTAGAGTCAAGTTTTTAATCTACAGTATAAAGTGCCCAAGAAGGCCACACAAGGGACCAATAAAATATGGTGTATGTTAGGCCACACTGACTTAATTTTATGGATGACATCTGCACGTGCATTGATTTTTGCCTGTCCTCAAAAAAAATTAAAAAATCACATCCACCAAGGCTCTGGCCTGGCTCTAGGCCTGGGTAGCCATGGTAGTTAGCGACAATACAGAGCGGGCACCCAGGCTACTGAAGCTCCACGACTCAAAAACTCAGTATATACAAACAGTGCCGATTCATAAATTCCACACAAAGCCAGCATGTGCCGGCTTGTCGTATACATCGCTATGTAGTGCCGCAAATTCACAATACCAGCTTTGTATTCCTGTGGTTTAGTAGCATTTTTATTTTTCACCGGAATTTTTTTTATTCACCTGCGCGCACTAGTTGGGGGTCTTCAGAGGATGTCATCCATAAAATTAAATCGGTGTGGCCTTAACAGGTGGTCAATATAGACTGAGGAACCAGCAAAAACTAAGCATTATTAAACAATTGTCAGGGCTAGGATTGCTGTAAGGTCCGACTGGTTTTACATGTATTTTAAGGACTCTTTCTTATGGTCCAAACGTTTGTCTTTCTCCACTAGAAAGACGTACAAAATTCCGAAAAAAAAATGTGCACAATTATAACGTGTGCTGCATCTGCTTGGAGATGCACACCAGTAAATTTATGTGGACGAAATTCAGCATGATCGCAACTATTTTTAAACTCCAGATTACCTCCACGTATCCCTTACCTTGTACTGTGCAACGAGCTTTCGAAATCTCGGTTCCAAGTCCCCCAAACCGCTCAAATTTGCCCAAAACTACCAAAAGTTTGACTAAAAGTTTGCCGCTGTCATGACAGCGACGCCATACTTCTTACCACATCTGAGCATGCGCGAGCGATGCATTGTGGGAGATATGTTTTAGCAGACGACAAAAAGCGAAAAGTTCGTTTGTTTGTTTGTTTCGTGGTAGTATTTTTCTTGGAGTAAAAAGAAAACAAACAAATGCTCAAAGATAGAACGATTGTCAAACTATTTTACCTTAAAAACAACCTGCGATTGCGTGAAAGTGACAAAGATATAGAAAGGAATTCATCAATGATAGAAAGAGACAAAATAAAATGGCATTAGTCAGGAAAAATATCTGTGATGCAAAACTTATTAACTCTATTTTGTTTTTCATTTTGAATTTAGCTAAATAATTAACGTTGCAGTCAAAAGTCAAGGGCAATATTTCTTCTTGTTGTTGTAGTCAATAGAATTTCTTTTGATATATTTTAATAAATCTCATTTGACGGTGTTTTTATTTTGGTTTGATGCGCACCACACAATATTATGTTGTATTTTTTCTAAGTTTCTTTGGGAAGAGACCAAACGATAATATACATCTGAAAACTTTTTGTTGACAAGTTTTTACTTGTTTTATAAGATGTATGTCGAGCCACATGTTTTGCCGACTAGCCGTTCTCCATCTACAACGGATGATTTGATTGGCTGAATATAACGGCGCCATCTTTGATTCTCATTGTCGTCTGCAAATGAAGAACTGGTGACGCAGCAGTTTTAAAACGTCACTTAGCCTCGAAAATAACAGCGAAAACTGCAGCAACTGTAGTGTTATAGTACTGGAAAGAAGTCTGAGCGGATAATACCATCCATGAATCTACGGTTTCCGTTTGGAAGGGCCACCGACGTGCACTTGACCGATGGGCAAAACGTCCCGTTATGGAGGGATATGGAAACTTCTGACGAGAGAAAATATTCCATTCCGTTTCGCTGGCGCTAACAGGTAAATATTCCAGCTTAAAAATTCATATCTACTTCTTTGTTGCCTTAGCAGTTTCATGTTCATTTTCTGTTTAGACTTTATTGCCATTGTGACTTTGTGGGTATGTTTTTTAAGTTATATCAATTCATAACTCCGCTCTACTAATTTTCTGTGAAAAATTAAGAAACATAAATTATGGAAACACGCCTAAATGCACATGTAATGACGTCATTTCACTGCACCTGCGATGTATACTCAGGTGAGAACGCGTGGATCTGATTGGTCGATTCGAAACAGACTTGATTGGCTGCCCACCTGTGTGCATAAAATTCAGACGTCTGGAGAGAGAAAAAGGAGAAAAACATCATAAATAATAACCGCCAGTCGCGATCGGAGCTGCTTGTCTGCTTGCAGCCTGTTTCTCCTTTCTTACGGGATTTGATTGGCAAAGTTTTGCCCTTTTTTATCATGGAACATTCAACCAGTTTTAACCAGCACCAAAGGTAAGCACTGATATGTGTAATTTTAGTTCAGATCCAAGCAAATACATGTTTTCGTTTGCCTCCGTCGTTCGAAATGCCACGATCGGGAAAATTGAGTGGAGAAAGTACCAACATCATCTTAGAAATCTCGGGATCTTAAGTTAAGCTGTCTTCCGACTCTTCGGATTCGTCTACAAAGACTTAAACTTGGTTTTAAACCAGTGCATGTGGTTGATCAACCAAAATAAACAAAATGCTATCGACTTTTTGAAGCTACGTTCGTGTATTCCTCAAACTTCGAGGTCCTTGGAACACTGGCTCGGGATCATGTGTGGGCACATTTGTAGCGTTACTCATACATTACTGACTGCTGATACACAATTCAAACTTGAGGGAACATCTAAACACATTTCAAATCTAAAGATCAGTTTCTTAAAAATCAGCCCTAAAGCCCTGCTTTTTTTATAACTAGAGGTGAGTTTTCCGCACAACTTGAGGGAACATCTAAACATCTATACATCTAAACATCTATATGTACGTAAGAACTAAAATCACTTTTAAAATGTCAATATTTTCATCAAGTTACACAAATAGGGGGATGGTGTTATAATTCATTTTCATGGCTTCTTTAATGTTCTATGCTTGTGCGTAGAGTCCCCGATTATAATGCCTTTATACCGGTGGCACGGCGTCCATATATTCACGTCCACAGGTGTTCCAGGTGCAGATCACACAGCATCTGGTAAAAAATTTACCCGCGAAATCCTCGATGGAACGTTAGAATGATGCAAAATAAGGCAACTGAAATATTTATCTGCCTTGAATTTGCATGCTGTTGATAGGATGACATTCATAACATCACTTGTGCGTTTGTCAATCGACGAAATTAAACTCGATTTGCGAGGATAGAAATACACAAGCTTTCTATGCTTGTTTCTCCCATGCCTGTAAATAGGACGGGACGTTAAGCCGTGGTCCACTGTTCATTGTGCTTGTCGAAAAGAGCGGGAATTTCCTCGGTACAATGAACCTGGAAATACTGTACATACATAACGTCTGTCTTCTTTATTGGGAGATTAGCTCTTCAGTGAGCTAAAACTGGACCAAGATCACGTTCCTTTCCTTACATCTATAAGTATGCCCTGTTGCATCCCAGATGGCAAAGTGTTCTGGACTGGGGACGGTACCAGGGCTTCTTCCCGGGGTTGGACGAGGTGAGGTACACTGCACCCTGCCTGCCACCAGGGGGCGTCCGTCTGCATGGAGGAGACACCGTTCTCCTACAGCCGCTGACAGGCGGGCACTCTGTCCTGGACCACAATTACTCAAGGTCAGAGTTTAGCAAAAGGGTGAAGCAAAAGAAAAGCAAACGGGGTTCGTTGCTGTTACTTTCGGGACGGAAGTATTGCTTTGGGCTATAAGCTGTGATTTTTGTGGGGTCGCCAGGGATGTGCAATGACTCGATGAGTAATCATTGAATGAAACAATTCTCTGGTGTAATAGAGTTCGATATACGTAAATAAAAACCCCAAACACTTCGGAAACATCTCCTATTCCTTGTTCTGAAGGCGTTACATATACACCGTCGAGCATTCTGCCCGGGTTCGAGTCAAGTAGTCACCGACCTTGTGCCCTTGGGAAAGGCACTTCATACGAGTTTCCTCACTTCGAATTCGAATTCGCTCAAGTGAAAATGAGTATGCCAGAATGATCAATATTATGATCGTGGGCATTGCAGAAAAAACAAACCAAGTCTCTAAAGTGATACATATCACACCAGTTATACAATGTAAGTTGAAATGTTTCTCACATTTAATCTTAAACTATTTACCCATGACAGTGTCTTTCCTACTGCCTCGGGAGGCAATCAAAACTTTTACGACCAGAGCGGGAGCGCCTTCTTCCGTCCTCGGGCGGACAGCGCGGGTAGCACCGGGGCGGTGTCCCGCAAGTTGGCCTCCTTGTCCATCGACAAACCAGTCGGCTGCTCTCCCGACGACACCGACGAACTCCCCGATGTGCCAACCGCGGAGACAGCAGCAGCGCCACCTAGAGAGGATTACTGGAACAGCATGGCCGTGACGGACGTCAGCGAGCCGGAGGAAGGAAGCGGACCAGGGGACGGCCTGTCCCGGGTGACGGAGTACTACCGGCCCGCAGACGTCACTCTCAGCTGCCTGCACACCGCAGCAATGGGTAACAACGGAACATCAACACAGGCGGTGAGACATTAGATGTTGCTCATGTACCAGACAGTCGCCAGATGTCGCTTTTTGATATTCACTTCTACCCTGTCTGTGTACTTGATACCAAGGACGTCCTTGTTGATACAAATCCAATCCTGTTTGCAAAATTGAAGGAATCGTTTCTTCTTTTCATCAGAACATTGTTTTCTTAGATGTAAAATGCTTAGTCTTGTCAAGCCTTGGTCTTGTCATGTGTTACCCAATTGCCCATACATAATGTAGTATTGGGTCTTCGTACTTACAATACTGACGCGACAAACTTTTATAACTCCTACTGTGGACGACACGGACAGCCGTCAACACTGCAACTGTTTGTGTCATCAACACCAAAAGATGCGGTGTTGGGACACCAAAAGTTGTGGTGTTGGGACACCAAAAGTTGCGGTGTCAACATTTGTCCCTGTCGGCCACGGTATTTTTTCTGTTGACGGACAAAGTTACGGTGTTGAAACACCAAAAGTTGCGGTGATAACATTTGTCCGTGTCGGCCACGGTACTATCCCATCACAGATCAGCAGCCAGCGCCGCCGTAAGCCCGCCAAACCCACCAAGAGTCCCGCCCGGTTCGACCCCGCCTTCAAAGGCGTGACTTTCCAGATAGAGACGCTTCCGCACCCGAAACCTTCTCTACGGATTCGCTCCTATTTCAGGTGAGCACAGAGCTTAGCAAATACATTATGTGGACATGCATTATAGTCGTCAACAGAGTTCTTATGCGGCACTAAGGCCACAGCAAGTAAAGTTTTTTTTGGATGACATGTCGACATCCTCCGCAGACTCCAAATCTAAGGCTTGGAGAAGAACAAGGTGGGCCAAAAGAAAACAAGATTCTTACATTTTCAAATTTTGACATCATAAGCATTGTTGAACAAGAAATTATACCTATGTTGAAGTAACAGAAGTAATGTTTAAATGGAGTATTGTAATGGTCTAGTGGTTATTTGGCGCTCTCACCCCCAAGGCTCGGGTTCGATAGGAACCACTGTAAGAATTGGGAGAGTAGAAACAGAAAGACACTACTGGCCCGGAGGGTTGGGGATCGAACTCACGCCAAACCGGGTGCCAGCTCATAACCCGACGCTCCTACCGAATTAGCTAAAATGTCTAGACCCATCGGCCAGGTCAGTTGCTAGCACCTATATAAACCCCCACTGTTACACTTGCAGCATCCGGCGGCGTTCCCAGGCGGCCCGCCCGCGCCGCTTCTCGGAGTCTGACGCGGCGTCCTACCGGCGGCGCAGCGGCAGCCTCACCGAGACCACCAGCGGGTCTGAGCACGAGGAGCCGCACCCCGTACCGCAACATGCTCACGGTAACAACTCAGTTTCAAATAAATTATCAAAGTTCTTCGATCACAACCATTTATTTTTACGAGCCGACGTTTCGATGACCTTCTGTCATCTTCATTAGGGCAACTCTGACTGGTTTGCTTTGCACTGACGCTAGATGTTACTTGGTGTATAGTGCACTAAAGGTGTTACATGGTTCACAGTGCACTGTTACTTGGTTCACTTAGTGTACTATACACCAAGTAAGAGTCTAGCGTCAGTGCACAATAAACCAGTCAGAGTTGCCCTAATGAAGACGGTTATCGAAACCTCGAGACAAGAAAAGGCTCTGATTTAATGTTTTGTTTCTTACTTTGATGCAGTGATATGTGATACTGCCTGTGTATATGTGATGTTCCCACTGAATCAAAACCATTTGTACAATGATTGAGTCAAAATTTGAAAATGTAGGAACCTTGTTTTTTTCGGCCCGCCTTGTTTTTTTCGCCCGCTCACATTAGATTTGGAGTCTGTGGAGGATGTCATCCATAAAATTAACTTGCTGTGGACTTACTTGAAACCATCTTGTTTACTTGTACATGTGTCCGTGTGTTGCCCAGCAGGTGCTAAGCAGTGCGCCTCCTGTGACACTAAGAAGACCCCGCTGTGGCGGGACGCGGAAGACGGGACTCCGCTCTGTAACGCGTGCGGGATCAGGTGGGTTCGTCTGTCACTGACATTCTGTTCTTTTGCACAAAGCGGCCAATGAAGACTATGATGAAAAGCCACGTAACGGACCCAAGTCTTACTTCTAGCAATTGTTACTTGCACTGTACATGTGTTTGTGAACAGCGCATACTTAGTCGAGACGTGGATGGGTCTGTATGATCAAGGAGCTTCTATTCAATTGTATGATTGGGTATATTTGCCCGTATGTAAACTTATGATATATTACTAAATTAACAGAACGGTTGATATATCGCGTGGCTGAACATGATGTGGTCATGATTTTATTCGATGGAAAGTACATTTTTATACATGTAGCTCTTAGGCTTGTGAAGAGGTGGCATAGGTTTGGACCCCTTAACTAGCTATCAAGGACAATGTCCCTACTGTACTTGGTGACAGTGGGTTCCACTCTGCGATAGTTCTAGGAAAGAATGAATTCTTGATCACCTCAATCCTTGGTTGATAACTTTGGTAGTTGAAGGCTGTATTTCTTGTTCTCTTCTGGGCTGGTATTAGGTACTTAGTAGTTGGGACATCCATCAGTTTGTTAGTCATTTTTTACATCATGCCATGTCTGGACATTTTTCTTCTGTCTTCAAGTGAGACCCACTGCATATGTAGGTTACTTTTCTTAGGTTTCATAGTCATGTAACTGTCACTCTTTCTGTCCTCACCCCTGTAGGTACAAGAAGTACCGTGTGCGCTGTACCCGGTGCTGGCACGTCCCCAAGAAGGACGGCAAGTCTTACCCGAACTGTGGCCGCTGTGGAGACCTGTTGCGAGTCTCCATCTTCCGCCGATACAGCATTTAAACCGACGCCTCTGTTTTATAGGCTTCCTCTTATACGTTATAGCCTCAACCAGGCTTGGGGAAGCGGCTGGAAAGAGTAGAAATTGGCCAAATATTACATGTCAGAGGAGTTGGTCCAAATATTTGGCGCTCCCGAGGCCAACTGTACTGTCTGGCGGACATGTTATCTGTCTATTTGGCCAATTTCTACTCTTTTCCAGTCGCTTCTCGAAACCTGGTACATACCAGCTTCCTACACTCTTACCGTGCCGTGGAACGGTAGACACTTCAGTTCAGGAGGCTACGCGTAGGAGGCTAGTCTCTACCAGACTCCTTTTGCAGGCTGAATAAATCGTAGAATTCGTCATAAAAAGGGTATTCAATTGGCCAATATGAGGGTCCAGCTGCTACCTTATCTGGCCAATTAAATGCCCCTTTAATGCAAATTTCTATGATTTATTCAGCCTGCAAAAAGGAGTCTGGTGGAGACTATAGGAGGCGACTCTCTTGGCGTTCATTCGTATTTTCTACTTATATTATATTGGGGTTTCCCAATTCTTCTGCTGTTAGAGTTTTAATGAGTTGAGCTCTATATTTATGGTTTGATGTCTTTTTGTTATGATGATGTACATGTGTTTTTCATGTACCATTTTTGCACGGTTTTGTTCAATGTTTGCACATTTATATCGAGTTTTTATAACCATATTGTGGTTATCGATTTGTTACATTGTTTGGGCTCGATGATCTGAACACTATTTATAACGTGTAATGTATGTACAGGTAAGGATCAGAACACAGTCACTGTGTAGACGGCGCCCCCATGCGGCAGGCAGGGGTAGTGCACCTCACCTTGGTCATCCTTTGTTATTTTCCATCTCAATGTCAGCTCAGAGACTGAAACTGGTTACACAACAGAGATGTACACGTAGCACCATGTTCCTAAAGTCTGTCATCATTCTAAAATAAAAAAAAAAAACAGAAAAAAAAAACAGATGAAAGATATGAAATTTTGTGATCTGTTAATTTTACTTTTACTTGAACATGTCTTGTGCAGTATTTGAAGTGTTTTCAATAAATGTCCCAAACAAGGTGTTGATGTCTAGATCTTTGCCTCTCCTGACAAATATTGTGTGACAGCCATTAATAAAAGCTATCACTGGGAAAATTTGAACACTCATGTATGATGTAGTTTGCATGAGAGAACAATGATCAAATAAGGCCACACCAATTTGTTGGTTCTTGGATTTTTTCAGAAAAAATATGAAGCGACAGGGCAAAAAAAAAATAAAAACAGGTCTAGGCATCTAATTATAGCCCCAAATGGTATGGTAGGAGCCATGAAGTCAACACAAAAGGCTGGGTTAATATTTGAACAATGAATTTTGAACTTTTAATCAAACCACTGCATTGATAAATGCAAGGAGCTTCCATCAAAGCTCCTTACTAGAACCTGTAGATTCCCCTTGCCATCTCTTGAGTACCTGTGATGACACATTTACAGTATACTTGTAGGCTGCACCCCTTTCAGGGTTTCAGTAGTCTTGATTGTACTACTGTTCTGGTAGTACAAACCAGAGCACTTGTTTTGGTCACTTGATCCAGACAAACTTAGCTATTCAGATTAATCTGAACATCACAGATCAAGATGCTTTGCAATTTGTCACCACGTGATCAGTACAAATAATACGCTACACACACTTTATTTTCAATTCGTCTTCTTGTACAAAATATCTACAGTTTTTTTTTTATTTACGTACAAAACTAACTTCTTTTTCACAATATACAGACTGGCAGTTTTGTCAAACTGTTGTTACATGTTTGGGTAAACGATGCATGCCGGCATGCATTTCACAACAGGACAGAAAGAACGAAAACCGTTTCTTGAAAAAAAAAAGGACAGGGAGTGTAAGAATGCTAGAAACAAATTTGTATGTGTAGAAAAAAACAACAGGCTTTTGTGAGGGTATTGTACGATGGAAGATTATAATGTTTTGACCTTCGAAGAAAAGATAGGCATAGAATTGAGCAAATGAGAAGTAAGATGTGTCTGGTGCAACACAGATAGATAAAATGATGTCACTCATTTTATTTCACTCCATACCAATGGTATGGATGGAATATATTGTGTTCTCTCATGTTTCTTCTCCCCCTGCCATTCGGTGATATTGGAATAGTCCACTTTTGCGTGGGAGGGAGATGGACTGAAATATGCTGTATTTGCTCTCAAGCAAATGTCGGCCTTTCTAGTTTCCTTTGGATTTCCCACGTATCATTTGTTTTTTCTTGTCTCAAGCCTGCAATGCTTCCAATCTGAGAGTGTTGAGAGAATTTTATTATAAATTAAATGCACTTAAAGAGTTAAAAGGTATTGTGACAAAATTATGTGAGAAAAAGACACAACATAGCAGTGCGCTTTCAGTGGCCAGATATTCATGTACAATATCTCAATTACTGCTTCAAAACAGATTTTTATATTTTTGTGTGGGAGGGAAATGGACTGAAATATGCTGTATTTGCTCCCAAGCAAATGTTGGCCTTTTTAGTTTTAAATATCTTTCTTTTGTATAGAAAAGATCTCCAGTGCAGCATTCCACAGTTCACAAAAGAGGTCTGCATTTAGTTTATGATTTGGGTTGTTGAGAGTGACAAAAAATTAGCCATGTTTACAACGAAACTAGCTCAGGAATTAACTGAAGAAGGCAGTTGTCTTGTAATGTACAATTATTTGGCCCAAGTTGCAGGACTGTAAATCAAAGGTACAGACATATGTCTTAGGCCCCTTCTCCACTAGACAACGGTTGCTGAATGATCAAAACTGGATAAAGGTACCACCCTTAATTTTTAAATTTGATGCATGATGCAAAAACCTGATTCAAAAGACAACACACAAAATGTTTACCAAAACTATCTATGAAATTTGTTGAGAAAATCGGTCAAACCTTCGGCTCTAGTGGAAAAGGAGTGTTGAAGCAGCGACAGTTTTCGTTGCAGAGGATGGAAGGATAATGACATTGAACAACAGTATGGGACATGTAGGTACAGCTGGGCACAGTGTGTCCACAACCCCCCCTTTGTAATGTCAGATGGAATGATCCAAGAGCACCTCGGAGACAGCCCAGGAGTCACATTTTGTAAGAAGAAGAAAAAACAAAAAGGGACACCACTTTTATAGTGCAGAAAAATGTTTTAATTAATATCCAACAAACTACAGTGATTAATAATAGAAGTAAAAACAAGTGTTAGAAGCTGTGCGGTTAAATTTTCCTGAGTATATGTATAAACAGCAATGCCTGGCACCTCCTCCACACATGCCACAATTATACACTAACTGGAAACCAAAAGACGTACAAATGAATAAAATGACAGCAAAGAGATTGAATAACCACCTTCGTTTACATGGTACTACATTGGGCAATAGGTTAAAATGAAGATTTCATCATAATCTAATGCAGATAAAACAGACTTTTGAAAACAATCATTGTTAGTGAATCAGAGCCGCTAAAAACATTCTAGTATTACGTCATTTTTATTATTTGTCAATGTGTAAAAACGTATGTGCGAAACCACTGCAAAATTTCATCTAGTTTTATCCAATTGCCCAGTTATCTATCTACAACCATAACCGTTACACTTGTGGCACCACAGACAAGAACAGAAAATAAGACGATTCATGGTTCCAACTGCACATGTGTGGTATGGTGCATTGTGGGTAATAAGTCAAAGGCCATCGAGACATCTACAAAACATGTCCAAATGTGTCTCAAGGCCCTTCAACTTATACACTTTTACCCACAATGCATCAACCTGTGCATGCGCAGTTTGAACAATGAACCAGCTTATAACTTTTAACTGCACGGAAAACTCTTGTAGAGAATGAAACAAAACAGTATCATCGGAGCAGACACATAACAGTATTTCAATCTACAGAACTCATTCAACAACTTTAAAAAGGTAAATATATAGACAGGGAAAAAGGGAAGTGCAGTTGGCAGTTCAAAAGTTACGACAGTGATATTGCATTAAACATGCCAAGTGTCAAACATAAAATGTCTGGTCTCAAACCAGCCTAGAACTAAAACAGGACAGTCAGAATATGAAAACAACGATACAGGATCCATGGGAGTGGAATATAGAAAAGACAGCCTGCGGCAAAAGTGCAAGTGAAAATTTGCATCAGAAATATCTTTAGGTTATTGAACATGTGTGTATATATATATATAATTATATACCATTCTATATGATTTGTGTTAAATGTAGGAATACATGGTGCAATGTGGGTTGGTTATAATCATGGGATATCATACATTTTGTAGAATATATCATCATGTAGAATACAACATATCTAGTAAGTTGCACACTCACAAACACTGCTACATGTAGGGAGACTGCAAGGCAGTGACTATACCTTTCCCATCATGCTTCACTGCATTCAATTTTTGCCTTCATCACCAAAACCAGTAGAATTCCATGCAGGTTGATAATGATTTATACACTCCTATCTTACCTGGGAACTGTGTGATATGGCATGACAACATGTCTAAATATGGTAAAGTTAGAAGGCAAGTTGGATATATATTGTTATGTCCTACCTGGGCCGCGATTACGTTCGATACGGGTGTTCCGGCCCGTGTGATAACTAGCGGTACAGCCCGGGGGTTCTAAACGCGTACGGCCTGGGGCTTCCAAATGTTCCATAGAACGATTCGAACGCGTTTCGCCCTAACCGCGTGCAACGCTTTCGAAAATTCGAATGCAAAATCCGGACGTTGGAATTGATGTTGTTGCATTTTAGGGTCTAGTGGCACCACCTTTTGGCTCATCTTGCATCGAAAGCCGTGTTTTCTTGGGTGGGTATGACATAAATAAAATACAACACGGGGTATTCCGCATCGCCCTCGGTCCCGGCCCTCCCGCGAGTCGGATCGCCCTCCGGCCTGCGGCCGTCGGGCGATCCGACCCGCGGTCGGGCCGATACCTCGGGCGATACGGAATACCCCGTGTTGTATTCTATATATATCACCTACACATTGATAACATCTCTGTGTATGTCATGTGATCTTACGTACACAAGAAGAGAGACTGTTAAATAGCATACAAGGCAGCAGACAAAAAAAAAGAAACTTGCAATACAAAACAGTACATTTCAGATACTGCATGGGATGGTTGCTTGTAGTTGCTTCCAGAAAATTGAAAGAGTTTCAAGCTGAGATTTGGTGAGTTAAGAACAAATAGTTTCTTCTTGGTTGCAAAATAGAATGCAGGTTTCATTGTAATTTCCATAAAGAAGAACAGTAGATGCTGTAAAGTCTCTTGAATATGAGGTTACACTTATGTCAGTGGAAGAACTATAAAGCTCCGCCCCTGAGGTGTAGCCAAAAAATGACAGTAACATGGCCAGGACCACTCTAACACAGGGGTGGTCAGGATGACCTTGCACAGTGTAATGCTGATATGACAATAGTGTGTAGCACACCTTATTGTACAACAAAAAAATGTCTGGAGATATAAGGCATCCAAAACTGTTCAGTGAGGCACTGTCAGGTACAGTTTTCAAATCACCAACATTAGGTGTAGCAGTATAGTTTTAGTACATAGAAATATCAGGTTACTGTGCTAAACTTTACGGGGCTACAGTAAGAGGAAAAGAAGGGTATAAGGTAAGGTCTTCTAAATGGCTGTATAGCACTTTATAGCAAAGATGAACAGAATAGCCATATCTTGATGGCACTGGCCTATCTTTCATACATGTACTCTACTATCTACACTAGTGTCTAGCTAACATGCAGAATATAAGGATATAGCATAGTTTTGTGAATAATATCAGACTGGCGTAAGGTTACAAAATATACATATACTGCATTTCGATCTTGACACGTACAGTTGTACAGTTGGGCGCAGTTAAATCTCATCACACACGGATTAATGCACATACGGTTCATACAAAAGTTGTCAGACAACTGCAAACATCATGCTTTGAAAGTGCCCCCTAGCTACTTCTGATGGAAGTGCACTTCATGCTTCTTGTGAGGAAAGACGCTTGCAGTAGTCAAGATGGCTAAAAACACCAGGAGCACTAACCATTGCAATGGGGACGACTTTGTTTTCCATTGCCACACAAAATTCTCTAATGGTCTTCACAAGTTGCACTTCAGAAACAGTATGATAGGTGGCACTGCTACTCCATGTGTTAACATACATTGCAAGACTGCTCTTCCTAGATGTAAAAATCTGACCATCAAGAATGTCTTGTTGAAAAAAACAAACTTTCAAACAAAGAGATTTTGTATTTCAGTGAGTTGAAAGAAAGTGTTTTAACCAATCTCAAACTGGCTTCATGTCTTTAAATGTCTGTTACTTGTTTTAACTTTTGGGTACAAACCCTCTATTGCATCTATTGTCTTTCATATAAATATATACAAAGTTAGGTCCTGTTACTTTCCCCATAGGCCTTTCTTTCTCCTATTTTGGCATCTATATAAACTATGACTATTGACTAAATAACTGCATTTGGCAGAGAAAAGATGGCTTGACTTCAATCAATTCTAAAATCACAAATAGTTATGGCTGTTCATTTTTTTCATTACTGCATTTTCAATGTTGAACGGTGTCTTTCGTAAAAGATATAGAGACTATGATAGCATAGAAGGTACTGAAAAGTTTCAGAGTTGTTATAAAATCATTGTATAAATTGCCACATTTTGAACTAGAGTTCCCCGATCTCATACCTTCGCCAAATGATGTTAATCTTTATGACTGACAAAGTTTAGATTAGATTATTCCCCCCTGATTTAAGAAATAGGAACCTAATTTTTATGAATTATATCATTTTATCATAATCTCAACAAAAAGACAGTCTTATATTAACAAACAATGCATTCTAGCATTTCCTAATAAATTATGCAAATGAGGTCCTGATTTGAATAAATTATGTTTAATGATGTTCACCTCAATTTAACTTTCAAATACCACAAGTATGAAATTCCAGGCAGTTATCATTACATAATTATAAAATTTTTCTCATTAATTATGCAAATTAAGTCATTATTAACATAATCAACATCTTCCTGTGTTTCTCTCGTTGTCAATTACCAATGTCACAAGCTTCAATTGTCCTATTATGGAATGCAGCTGATTTATAGAATTTCCCCATAAATTATGCAAATTACATCCATATTTGCATAATTGTCACATAATTATATTTAAGCATCACGTAAGCTACCTACATACCAAAAATCACGACGATCCGTCAACCGGTTCTTGAGTTATCCCCTTTTGAATATTTTCAAGAATTTATCCCTGCAGTTCCAGAGCAAGCCGCTAGGGGGCCTAAACTCACGTCACTTTTTTCCCTAGCACAAGAGCTACCTACCATCTAAATTTCATTACCATAGCATGTCTAGATCATGAGATATCAAAACCGGAAGTTCAGCTGCAGTACCATAACAAGCCGCTAGGGGGTCCAAAATCTAATCATTTTGAGGTCTCATCAAGACCTACCCACCTACCAAGTATCAAGACAATCCATCCAGGCCTTCTCAAGTTATCGTGTTTACAGACAGACAGACAGACAGACACACACACACACACACACATACACGAACGCCCCTGAAAACATAACCTTCTTGGCGAAGGTAATAATAGTTGTTTCTTAACCTAGGCTCGTTTATGCTAAAAATTAACTAACCTGGAGGCCAAAATTGTTCTATTGCTGTTTAAAAACTTGTCCAAACATCTAACATGATTGCAAGACTTGTGGAGTTGCTAATAAAACAAAGGCATTGCACTTCAGTTATGGGTTGATAGGTGGCGCAGTTTCACAAAAGCTCCAAAATCGAGTTATAACAAAATAGCTTTACTGACAAGCAAACTTTACACAGGAAGACAGGACGTTTTGAACTTTAGATCTCTAAAAATCTGCAATAACTAATCTTAATACTAACAATTAGAAGAAAAACAACTTCAAATCTTAGACTTCAGGAATGCTCATCATTTCAAAAGGTGGGTTTGAGCCAGAAAATCTTTCATGGCAGAATTTTCCTTCGACAAGTAAAACTTTTTGATCTTAAAAATTTTTCCAGTTGGTGTCATGGTTTGAAAAGAGGACTTTGTCATCACAAATGGTATAAAAAGCCTCAAGTCCTAAAAACGTTGCAAATTTTTCTGTGAAACCTTTCGCTAAAACACTACACAATGGCGGAAAATTTCTGCCATTCCCTTCTATTCTCTTGACAGGCACCAATTTCACGTGAGGACTGCAAAATGTCTCTGGCGTTTTTGCAGACTGTAGAAACTCCACTTCGGGGCATTAAACATGAAGCCTTTTTACCTCAACTGCATTAGTGAGGCACCCCCGTCTCAGAGCTCTGCATCTCTATCTACCTGGAAGACCTCTCTCATAAAAAACGCCTCCGCCCCTGAGGTGCCGCCAAAAAACTCAACCAACAATACTGCACTAATTCCGCCACATTTGATTAATCTCCTAACTGACTACCTACAATTTTGGAAGTAGAGATTTGCACAACTTTTCATTTTCTAGAGAGCCAGGACCCCTTTTTTCTCTCAAAGCCAGGTAGTTTAGTAACGTGTGGGTGTACGTGTTCCTCTTTTGTTACCACCCTATAGCCAGACACAAGTAGTTTTTGTTCCCAGACCTTTTGTTGGGTCTCAGGCTGTAGCCAGAATATCGTCCAAGTCTCGACGTAACGCTGCTGAACGTACGGCGGGTCTAGGACCGTCGTTTCTTGCTGTACGTGTCGGCGTAGTGCCCGCCGAGGCCCTGCGAGTGCTGTCCGATGTAGCCGCTCTCCGGGCTGGGCTCAGGGGACGGCAGAAGGTGCGGCGCTTTTCGCTTTTGCGCCGGAGTCTGTTATAACAAACGTGATAACATTGCAAAGTCTGAGCATGATTGTCAAGTTAGTAAGAGTATGTAGCCTGGTTACCAAACCTATTTTAGCTACTGTTTAGAGTTATAAAACTTTAGATCCACCACAAAACGTTCTCTCACCTAGAGAGCTTTCGACCAGTCACTCTGGTCTTCGTCAGTAGACTGACCCAGTGAGGCTTGTCACGTGGCTTCTTTGATCCACCTTTGACCCAGTGTTGACGTCACACTTCAAAGAAGCCAAGTGACAAGCTTCACTAGGTCAGTCTACTGAGGAAGACCAGAGTGACTGGTCAAAAGCTCTAGGTGAGAGAACTTTTTGTGTTGGATCTAAAGTTTTAACTCTAAACAAAGTCATGTAACTACATGTACCAACACAGATGAACTTTCATGATAGTATTTTAGCTATTGTTAACGTGTCTCTTTCCTCTTCCACATACAGGTCTGAATTCAACTGATTCCCAAAGATTTGGTCAGCTGCTTGCAGTGGAGGAAAGAGACTCAGTAGCTAAAATATAGGCTATAGAGTATGAACTTGGAAAGTCATTTTTTGTTACAGCACTGCTCCTTTATATATGTACATGTATAATACATGTATACTATGGTGGTCTGGCTACATTGTGCAATTTCACAAAAACATGACAAAGCTGCAGTTTGGTATAACACCACTAGAGGGCAGGAGTGAATCATCTGACAACACACAGACAGGCATGTGATGACAACTACAGACATATAGTGCATGGCAGGGTGTGGTGAAACAAACAAACAAACAAAATGAACAAAAAGTATCTAACCATCTTTCTGGACATAGCAGGATGTTGGGGCTAAAAATAGAAGATGAAAATCAATCAATAAGTAAAACGATCAGCAAAGAACAGAAATGCACTGGAGTTCAGAACACAAAAGAAAACAAAAAATCAGCTGTTGCCTAAATGTACCAGAATGCTTAAAAGACATACATTTCTAATTACAATACAAACAACAGACACAGACAGGCAGATGGACAGATGTCACAAAATGTGTGAAAAGCATGAAACATAGTAGAAATACAGAAGCAGCTCAAAACAAAATGTCATAATGGCGTTGGTGACACAAAGAAAAACATACAAGACTAAAGGTAGCTCTCTATTCAGAACATAACAGTTGTTAGTTTGTGAACTCTTACACTATAATAGACCAAAGCCTCCATCAAAATGTAGAAATGCATGATAAATAAAATAAAAAACATAAAGCATGACAAACATACAAATATTTGATGGGCATGCAGCTACTCTCTTATTGGTTGAACTGTGAATTGCCAATCTCTCATTGGGAAAACTAGTAAGTGCTAACTGCCATTCTCTCATTGGTTGAACTGCCGCCATTCTCTCATTGGTTGAACTGCTAATTGCCATTCTCTCATTGGGAAAACTAGTAAGTGCTAACTGCCATTCTCTCATTGGTTGAACTGCCGCCATTCTCTCATTGGTTGAACTGCTAATTGCCATTCTCTCATTGGGAAAACTAGTAAGTGCTAACTGCCATTCTCTCATGGGTTGAACTGCCGCTATTCTCTCATTGGTTGAACTGCTAATTGCCATTCTCTCATTGGGAAAACTAGTAAGTGCTAACTGCCATTCTCTCATTGGTTGAACTGCCGCCATTCTCTCATTGGTTGAACTGCTAATTGCCATTCTCTCATTGGTTGAACTGCTAGGGGTAAACTACTAAGTGATAACTGCCATTCTCTCATTGGTTGAACTGCTAATTGCCATTCTCTCATTAGTTGAACTGCTAATTGTGATTGACAGACAGAATTGGTGTATATACTCAGGACATTAGTACCTGTGGGAAGTTGTGTTTGGCGGGTTGAACCATCGTGGGTGGGAGATTTCCCAACAGCCCCTGCTGTCCAGGTGGGGAAGCCCCGAGCAGTCCTTGTTGTGTGGCACTCGGCGTGGCCAGCAGGCCCTGCTGCATCATGGGAGTTGTACCAAGGAGAGACTGCTGCAGTGCAGCCTGGTCCAGATTCTGTGAAGGACAAATATTTCTCAGTCATTCAGTGACCATCAGATTAACTTATTAAATAGTATCAATAGTTATTTTTTTTGTGTGCGTCACGAGACGCAAAATTCGGTTTGGAGCTGAACTTGAGGTTGGAGGGAGGGTCTCCCATAAAATTAACTTATTAGATAGTAAGTAGACAGAGCTACAAGTATTGGGTGAGTTGTCTGAGCATGTTTATGTTTGTCAGGAGAGAGAAGGTTGAGAGCACGTGGGTGGCAGAAGATTGACAGGCACAATGAGAAGTCAAAAGGTCAGGCACAGGAAATGGGGCTAACTTGCATGCTGCTGTCAGTGCTCTAATATTAAACCAGCCTGAAATTTTTTTTTGTCCGTCATGAGAGGCAAAATTTGGAAAGACGTATGCTGGCCAGAACCCTGGTTGCTGTGTTTTAGACAGCCAGCTGTACCTGTGGCTGTGTCCATTGCCCCGCCCACTGCTGTCCAAACCCAGCTGCTGCGTACTGCTGGTACAGCAGCCCGTCTGTCCCGGGGGGAGGGGGCTGGGCTTGCTGAGCGGTGGTAGCTGTCGGCACGCTGCCTTCCTGCTGCTTCTGTGGGGAGACAAACATGACACATTTTACTTCCAGGATGGAAGTATTGTTTTGGGTGGGGCTGGTTTTAGAGTGTTTGTATGTTTGGGTTCCAGAGATAGAAGACAAATGTGGTAGCTGTCGGCATGCTGCCTTCCTGCTGCTTCTGTGGGGAGACAAATGAGACGGATTTTACTTCCGGGATGGAAGTATTGTTTTGGGTGGCTCTGGTTTTTGGTTGTTTGTTAGTTTGGGTTCAAGAGATAGAAGAATGGTGTGGTAGCTGTCGGCACGCTGCCTTCCTGCTGCTTCTGTGGGAAGACAAACGTGACACATTTTACTTCCAGGATGGAAGTATTGTTTTGGGTGGCTCTGGTTTTAGGGTGTTTGTATGTTTGGGTTCCAGAGATATAAGGATGGTGTGGCCTTTCTGCTGCTTTTGAGGGGGGAAAACGTGACATTTTACATTCGGGACGGAAGTATTGATTTGGGTGGCTCTGGTTTACGGTGGTTTGTATGTTTGGGTTCCAGAGATAGAGGGATGGTATGATAGTTGACTAAGGTGAGTCATGCAAGCGTACAGAAGTATGGAAGTTTGCAGAGATTGGGTTTTATTTGTTGGAGTAAACAAAGGCTCAAACAAACAAACAAACAAAGTGACAGAAAATTGCCATATTTACCTTCATGAACTTGTTGAGATAGCTGTATGCCTGTTGTGCGGCCTGTACCAGGTTATTGGGCATGTTAGCGCCTGTCTGCGGTGGGGAGACAGCCGAGGGAGGCTGTTGTTGTTGTTGTTGTTGTTCCTGAGGGAAGTTGTTGGTCACGTACGCATTGTAAGCCTGCTGGTAGTAGTCGTTTGACTGTAGAAAAGCAGAATTTCAGCAAAATTCAGTAAGATGTAGCAAAACAACAGGTCATAATTCTACATAATTGATGAGAAAATGCTAGACAAGCATTCTTTGTTATTATATAAGATAAGACTGTCATCGGACAACTGTCAATATTACATTGTAACTGTTGCCAAGTATTGCAAGCTTCTGTGAATAATCAGACACTTTTAGAGCAACTGATAAATTTCTTACATTATTTTATCAATCAATAATCCATTAAGATTTTCCGTGCAAATGTACACTGTCTTCTAGCATAGAATTGCATGTCCAGGTTGTGGGTTAGGCAGTAGTGAGGAGATGGAGTTGGACACTTACTTCAGTGCTCTGCTGGTTGAAGGCCTGTGAGGTATCGTTGTGTTGGTACTGATACCACTGCTGCATCTGGGACTGGTACTGCTGTAGGTAGTACACACAAGTAAACACAAATTTCAGTTGAGAACTACATTTGTACAAGTGAACAACCTCATACCTCCATCAAATATGTAGAGTTGTTGTGAATTTCTGCTTCATTCGTTACCAAACTGTAAATTTCTTGCTGATTTTGTCTCTGTGCTTTCCCACTGGATGTGAGCACAGGATGTGAGCGATACCTTTACAGGTGGCCTGGCTTACAGCTTGCCTTCTAAATACTAGTAAACAGCCAGGGTTGACAGCAATCTGAAATGTTGATGGGCGACCTATATGTAGCTTGGAGAGTATTTCAAACCCTGTACTGTCCATCATTCAGTATGTCATCTGTACCTCCTGGTAGCTGCTGTATCCCTGCTGGTACTGTGGGAAGGTGTGGCTGTTCTGGCTGTACTCCGGCTGGGAGGTGGGGAGGGGGGCCTGCTGGGGCGGCTGCTGACTGGCGCTGGCAGCTGGCTGTTCTGATGTGGCGGCGGACGATTGCTGCTGAGAGAAAGAAAGAGGGAGAAGAAACTTTTCACTCCATGTGGAACCAAGAAATTGGAGATTTTCAACCTCCAGGAAGTGTTTTTTGGCGACGTCTCAGGGAGGACCCTAATGGTACAGTATTGTGTGCAGTTTGCAAGAATTCTAGGAATTGTTCAGAATTTTGTCCACAAGCATGGAATGACTTAACCAAATTTTCGTTCGACCCCTTCTACTGTAGCTTCCGGGACGTGACGTCAGAAACACGTGATTGCAACAGAGGGTTGTACATGTCAGATAACCTGTGTCGCCCCCCGTCTCTGTTCAGTGTTGAACAGTTGGCCCGAATGTACACCGCCTCCTTTACTCCACTCAAGCCCTTTTTGTCATATGAACTATGATGAACTTTCATGCTAAAATGTCTTACGTTCTGTGAAGGTAAGAATCCCGGTGGGGCCACGCCCAGGAGGCCGATCCGTGGAGCTGTTGCGGGGTTGCCTCGTGCAGGCCCGTTGTCCACCATCCCAGGAGGGGGCTGCAGCATGGAGGCCTTCGGGAGGACAGAGGCCAGGTTCAGGTAAGGGTTGGAGCTGAACTTGAGGTTGGAGGGGGGGTCTCCCAGCAGGGAGCCTTTCTTCTTACCCCCCGCCTGGCCTGGAGGGGGGATCTGGGGGCCAACAGCTGGGGAAGGATTGATAAAAATTTATTCTTTTATGTTTACCGAAGGAAAACATATTGTTTTTGCTACATTCCTCTTCTTCTTCCGTTTCAAACACTGACCTCTGACCTGGCCAATGACCAGATTTATTGACAACTCTCACCATGGTAACTGGTGTTGGGTTACAACATGTTGCAATTTTATAGTAGGAAGGATTTATACTCCTGTCTGACCATATACATGAATGTGTTTGAGTAAGAATTTAGAGAGCAGACCATATGCAAAGGTAAGCATTATAGTACAATGTACATTGCATACACATCAAAATTACTGTTTACAACAAGATTCCCAACTTCTGGAAAGTTTTAAGTTGTTATGAGTCACATAATTAGTTAGACACAGGTAAAACTTACCTTGATTATTGTTGTTGTTGACATTGTTGACAGTGTTCAAACCTTGGCCTCCAGAGCCATTGACTAGACCAGCAGAGACCCCTACTGGTGAGGGCTGGGACTGCACCTGGTTCTGTTGCCCCAAAAGGTTCAGTATTGCATTGGGTCCCTGTACAGGTAATAAAATGACAATATATCCTACATGTAACAATACCATATCTGCAAGTTAATTAGTTACACCCATTAAAGAACCCAGCACAAAAACTGGTCACATAGTTTACGGAGGTCGACACTTGACCATGCCAAATGGCCATGTTTTCTTCATTATGCAGCACAAATTTTTTACTATTGAAGATTTCAGGTGGTTTAGAACAAAAAGGGGAATGTGACATGAGTTTTTTTCTGTAAGGTGGAACTAGTTCTAAATATTTTTAGTCCTAAATATCTTTACAAGTCCATAACTAGTTCCAGCGAACAGGTACACAGCACTACTTGAAGGTAGAATATTGACCTAACGGCAAGTGTAAAACAGCTACTAACCCCCTGTACTGCCATGCCTGGTCCCTGGCCTAACAGCGCAGGTTTGTCTGTCCCCTGACCTTGGTTGACCTGTGTGTTGGACAGCAGCAGGTTCTTCTGCGTGCTGTTCTGTGCTGTCTGGCTGGGCGTGCTGTTCTGCAGCTGTCCAGAGCTCTGAAGCTGTCCCAGGACGCTGATGAGTGCTGACAGGTTGGGGTTGCTGTTCCCCTGGTGCTGTTGCTGCTGTCCCAGTGCTGTCAGTAGTGCTGTCAGCGTGGCCTGGATGTCCAGCGGCTTGTTGTCTCCAGGGGGGGACAGGCTGGGGGGTGCGGGGTTGACGGAGGACTTGTTCACCCCCCCGGGCATGAGGGGGGTGGGACCGTCCCCCAGCAGGCCTTGTCTGATCTGCTGCTGCGAAGGGGACAAAAAAACAGAGATTTCATCAAGTACGTTAAAATTTATAGTAGGGTGCACAAGCAAGTTACAAAAATTCAATATGTTTGGGTTCAGGATACACCCTACAAAATATGCGAAAATCTTTGCCAGCTCGTTTTCCCACTAAAAAAAAACAAACTATTATTTGGCGCTTTGCTGGAGTCATGTGAACTGCAGCCAACCACAGTACTAGGTCATAACAGGATCCAGGCGCGAATTGACTCCAGCCGAACAAACATCCTAATTCTAATTATACGGTCTTAAACCCGATGCATTTCTCTACAATTCAGTATACTATAGTCTTCACCTCGCTATCCTGCACGAAAGAATCTCAGCAGCTTTCTCAAGTACTGTGTTGCACTACTTCGTGCCCGGACTACTTTTGACTACGGGGTTCGGCCGTAAATACTGTGTTATGCGGCCTTACCTGTGATGGAGCGGGTGGTTGTGGACATAGCATCCCGTTTGGCACCTGTGGATTCATGGGTGGGTTCTGGGCGCCCAGCCCCGGCTGTGACTGCAGCAGCATATTCAGCAACGGCGCATTCAGCAGGTTCTGGAACAAGTTGGGCTGTCCAAACATGACAGATTTTTGATCAGAAAAAAGGCAATAATTTACTGTAAATCTTGAAAAGTTTGTGGTGGTGTTTTACATTTACTTGAGACGGTCTTGACACTTTAATCTCAGTTTAAAAATCTGACAAACAAGAAATAGGGCAATCCAGACTTCTGGGAGGTACTAATAATATAAGGGTTTTCCTGACCTTCAACTTCAAGTTCACCCCATTTCCTGTGTCTGATCTTTTAACTTCCTGACATTCTGCCAGTCAATGTTTCCCCACCCATGTGTTGTCAACCTACTCTCAAGCTTATCCACCCCATTTCCTGTGTCTGATCTTTTGACTTCTGACATTCTGCCAGTCAATCTTTCCCCATCCATGTGCTATCAACCTACTCTAAGCTACGAGTATCTACCCAATCATACTTTTTTAAAGTACTTTCCCAACCAAATCACAGCTAAAACAAACAAGAAAATGTTTTCAACCAGCACAGTGGGATTTATCATGTTGATTTTTTACCCTTTAGATTAGTATATATAATTGTTACTGGTCCCTGGGATTATAATCAAATGGGAAGCACAGTGCTTACAAACCGAAGAACATCTTGTTGGTCTTGATTGGCGCACCGTGCTACCATGATTTCAAATATGGTCACACCAGTCAAAATTCTGGGCACATGTGCGACCAAACCCGTCGCACTCACAAGCCCTGACTGGATACTACTAATACTAGGCCGGATCTGTGTTGGTGCGTACCTGAGGTCCCCCCCTGGTAGCGTTGAGCTGCTGGTTCAGGGTGATGAGGGTGGCCATGACAGAGGGGTGGACACCAGGCAGACCCATGGGCAGCCCTGGAGTAGTCCCCAGAAGTCCTGCAGATAGAAACAACTATCATTATCAAATAACCTACAATAAATAACAGCTTTTAAGTAACAAAACAGAGCATAAAATTATGTTTACCTCCACATGTTGAAACTACAGTAACTGCTCTGTTTACTCATTCATATGTACAGTCACCTGCCCTTCCAACTGTCCTGCCACTTGCTACATAATGTTATCCAACATCACAGGGTGTCTGTTACAGCTCCATCTGACACCAATTTTTCCAGGTCATTTACCATTATTTGCTTCTTAGACTATAAGAAGCAAATAATGGTTAGAGGAGAAAACCTGAAGCTTTATGTTGTGTAAGCAAAAAAAGAATTTTTGGCAGTATTTTTTTTCTCTGTGCACTTTTACCAAATAATGTAATTTGATCCCTGAGGTGTGTAACCTTACCATGTCTGACACCTGTTGCTGCATCCTTGCCTGCAGGGTTCTGCAGCCCCAGCAGCTGGTTGGCTAACAGCTGCAGCTGCACCTGCGTGGGAGGGGTGTTGAGCAGCTGCGCTGGGTTGGGGTCGGGGAGAAGGCCGTTCTTACCTGGACCAACCTGGAAAAAAGGCAAGGATAACATGTGTGAACTGTTATAGCAGGTACACAAGTCATTTATATGTCAGGGTAGAGACTCCGATCTGGTAGAAGGTAGAGATATGGTGGATTCTCTGCGGGTCACTAAGAGATCCAGATCGCAGTCTCTTGCTGGTACAATCTGCCATTCATGTTCTAAATCAGTACAGTCACGTACTGTTCAACATTAAAAGATGAAGAAAATTTAACTGTTCTCCAACTCAAAAAAAAAATTAACTCACCAGAAAGTCTTTATCAGCTTCAGAGTGACTATCAAGACTGAGTGATTCAGTCGGGAATTTCTGGTAAGTTAATTTCTTTATTGAGTTGGAGAACAGTTTAATTTTCTTCATGTATTTTACAAACTCAGATGAACTTTCATGCTAGCATTAAAAGATATTTAGCTTTTATGTTATAGTATAGCAATGGACTTCATCCCTTCTGCTACTGAGTCCTGATCAGAGTTTCTATAGACAGAAACTCCAAACAGAATCTCTGCCAGTAGATTCATCAGCTCTTGTTTAGCTAAACGAGCAGTTGCTTAAAAAGTGCTTTGCACTATTACAATGTGGTCAGTACAACACACCCTCACCGAGCTGAGGGCAGTGGCCATGACGGACATCAGGCCCGGCCCGTTGTGTCCAGGTGGACAGAAGGACACCCTGAGGTGGACGTCCTGTAAGGGATGACCGTTGGTCTCCTGTTGCACAATCTCCGCTTGTTCTGGAACCTCGTACTCAAGCACCGCAAACCCTCGCGACTGGCCGTTTGGTCCCACGGAAATCTACGACAAGGCAAAAATAAGAAATCAGAGATTTCAAACTTACCCAGTTTAAAAGTGACGTCACAGGAATAGTGGATTGCGCATTCCTTGACAAAGACTGGACCTGGACAGTCCAATTTTTGTGTTAAACTTGCAAATCACAGTTCAACTTTGTTTCTTAATGATTTGTACAAACACTGAAAGTACTTTCAAGCTGCTATGGTACTATCTTTATGTTTACTGAAGGAAATTTAACATATTGTTTTTGCTACATTTCCTCTTCTTCCATTCCAAACATGTACACCGACTTCTGACCTGGCCAATGACCTGATTTGTTGATGTCTCATACCATGGTAACTGGTGTTGGTTACATAATGTTGCAATTTTACAGTAGGAGGGACTTATACTCTTGTCTGACCATATATATATGAATGAATTTGAGTAAGAATTAACAGAGCAGACCGTATGGATGGTATACATTAATGCATTTGCTTTGCAAATGTTACCTTTCTAGTTTAAATTGTTTTGCAACTGTGAACTCAAAGACAAGTAGAGCCACTAACCTGGCAAAACATGGGTGGGTACAGTTGACTAAATATCCTACTGAGCTGGCTGGTGTCTCGGAAGTCCATGGGGAGTTTTTCCACCAATAAGCACTTGGAATGGAGACTGTCGTGAGTCAAGAGTCCGGGGTCCATGATGTCACAGCAGAGAATTCTGGTCCCTATCCTCCTGCCTGTCAGCTGGATCTTAGCCTGCAGCGCAGACTCCTTCTTGGTGTATTCCACGAACCCGTAGCCCTTACTGAGTCCAGTTCTGTCGCTGCGCAGTAAGAAGCAGCGTTCGAGGATGCCGAAGGGTCTGGCCAGCTCCTGGAGTTGTTCCAGGGCGTACAGCTGGGGGAGGTTGGCGATGCAGAGGAGAGAGTCGTTGGGCGCCAGCGTGACGGAGATCTGGCGGTCCTTGTAGGAGGAATGGTGAAGCTTGAGGATGGCTGTGCCCGCCTGGTCGCCATTTTGTACCGTCACTTGGGCTGTGGGTGAGAAGAAAATGGAATTCAGAAATGAAAAACTGATACTGAAACAGTCATGCCTTCAAATATCAGGGTTATCAACCAAGAATCGAGGTGATTCAAAAACTCGTATTTCGTAGACTGGAACTCGTTGCCACCAAGCACAGTTGGGGCATCATCACTAGAAAGCTTTAAACAACTCCTGCAATTACATGTGCAAAGATTGAGTGTAACAAGTCGTCGGTGTGATATAGCCAGCTGCCGTCGCGCCGCGTGCCTGCGAAGCTGGTGTGTTACGCCGAAGGGCGGTTATACCGGATATACTGATACTGAAAAACGATACTCCAGTCTGAATTTTTTCATCATCCCTTATTCTCAATTTGTTCAACTTACTTTAACACCACAATGTTGAGCTCAGGTACAACAATCCTTTTGAAATCTTGACCCTCTCAAATTCAAAAGCCATTTCTTGCATTTGAGTACCAATTTTCGCTGGTAGACTATGCTGAGTTAAATATCTTTCTATATAGCGGATGAATTGGGCAAAAGTTTGTCCTGCAATTTGAACGAATGCCACCAGAGGGCGTAATTGCTCATGTTTTGTTCCCAAGGGCTTAGGCCAACCTAAAGCCCAATCATGATGAACAGACAAGATATCAACAGGTCTATTTCCCTAAAATTGCTTCAATTTGTCCATCCGATAGGACGATCTGGCAATTACCAATGGAGATGGGACCCTTAAATCCATTTCCCAACAGGATAAATCAATTAACTTCCATAAATAAATCAGCTTTTCTGGCCTCATATGTCATACTGGTCGCTGGGAAATATGCAGAATTATTGGGGACAAAACGGGCACTCTGGAAATTATCTCTCAGAGCTTATCAAGGTGCAATTATGAATCTAACCTACTATATATGAAATACCAGTCATGCTGTGCCAATAGGGGCAGTTACAGTATATATACTAGTACATCAGCTATGTACAGCATTTTCAGCAACTAAGACAACATTACCAATGAGAAATCAGCTGCAAACAGATTCAGGCAAAACCACATATTGTAATGGGGCTGTGTCAGAAATACCAGACTCCTTTGCAGGCTGAATAAATAGTAGAAACCGGCTAAGCTATAAGGGGAACATCATTGGCCAGAGGAGTTGGCTAGCCATAGAGGGTCCAGCTTGCCTGCCAGAGTCTGTGAGAAGTCGCTATCTTCTTAGATACCTAAAATTAAAAAGCATCTGCCGGATACTGTGGGCATGATTTTTTTTGGTTGGGGGGGGGGGGATTCTTAAAATTCAGGTAGCACACTGGGCTATACCTAGGTTCAAAAATAGGTTGCCCCAAGTAAAATTTGGTTGCACGGGACAACTGGGCAAGCAGGTATTTTGCACGCTGCATTGTACACAAATATATATTGTATATTGTTTTCCAGACCTGATATATAACATACATATGTGCCCCCAATCTTCACCAAGGCTACCACGTGTCAGAGGTGACAGCTGCAGGAAAATCCATTTTTATTCCCTGTAAACTTCCTTGAACTTTTCAACCTTTGATTTCCGTCAGGACCAATTATTGAGAGAACTTCCATTCCCTACGGCTGTCAGGTCAACTATCTTTCAATCATGTCAACACAAGGCCACACCAATTTAATTTCTTGGTTAACAGATTTTTCTACAAAAATAATGGAGCGGGCGGCCGAAAAAAAAACAACAGGCCTAGGCAGCCTATTATGGCCCAAAATGGTACGATAGGAGCCATGAAGTTAACACACCAGGCTGGTTCAAAATTTAAACAATGAATTTGGAACTTTTAATGAAATATGGAATAACTGTAACAACTATAACAACTGTTGTCAACTGTTCAGGGCAAAATATGAGCATTTTGCAGTTGATTATGAATTCTTATTTTTTTTGGCAAATCAGAAAAAAATGAAGCGGGTAAATCCGTTAACCAAGAAATTAAATTGGTGTGGCCCAAGGAAAAGCCCAAAACTTAATTCATTCTTTTATATAATACATGTAACTTTTCTCAGGTTTGTAAATTTACATGAATTTACTATAATGTCACTTCTTGTTATGTACATTCATTATCTCCATATGTGAAGGTTTTGGGGTTCAGAAAAAATATGAAGTGACAGCGCGAAAAAAAAAAAAAACAGATCTAGGCATCCTATTATAGCCCCAAATTCTACAAAAGGAGCCATGAAGTCAACACAAAAGGCTGGGTTGATATGAATTTTGAACTTTTAATCAAACCACTGCATTGATAGATGGGGAAACTGTAACAAGGAAGAAAAGGACTTTCCTCAACTGTTGGGGGCAAAATATGAGCATTTTTTAGTTGATTCAGAACCAACAAATTAAATTGGTGTGGCCTATGTATTTAATTTAACACACTAATAGTATATACATATTGACTTGGGGGGAAAATATACCATTGGTAGAGATACATTTGTATATTAGGCCACACCAATTTAATTTCTTAGTTAACGGATTCGCCCGCTTCATTTTTTTCTGATTTGCAAATAAAAATAAAAATTCAGAATCAACTGCAAAATGCTCAGATTTTGCCCTGAACAGTTTAAAACAGCCCTTTTCATCCTAGTTGTTACAGTTATTCCATCTTTCACTACAGTGGTATCATTAAATGTTCAAAATTCAATGTTTAAATTTTGAACCAGCCTGGTGTGTTGACTTAATGGCTCCTATCGTACCATTTTGGGCCATAACAGGATGTCTAGGCCTGTTTTTATTTTTTATTTTTCGCCCGCCCGCTCCATTATTTTTCTAGAAAAAATCCGTTAACCAAGAAATTAAATTGGTGACTGTGGCCTTATACACACTTGCAATTATTAAGCCTTCAAGCAACAAACTTGCAAATAAAGTAATTTTACTTCATCATGCGATGGCAGAGGAACACAACAGACAAGCTGTTGAAAGGTTGGCAGGAGTTCAAATTTTGGATTAGAAATAAGAGAACATTGCCATTAACCTCCTTTTCTTTCTAACAAATAATATACAGGAGCAAGGGTAACCTTCTACTTGAACTTTGCCAACTGGAGGTGTACAGAAAAACACAGAGTGACAGGAGCAGGCATGTACATGTGTTTTGGATCAGCCCTGAGCTGGATTTTCAAGGTCATGTCTAGAAAAGAAAATTCTGGTGACTTCCAAGCATAATGCTAGCAGTGAACTATAATGGCAACCACTACAGTTTAAATAATATAACCTTCTTGGCGAAGGTAACTAGAGTTCCACGACCTCATACCTTCGCCAAATGATGTTAAAGGGCGCATTATTACATTTTTACTCATTGATTTCACAAATAAGAGCCTCCTTTGCATGGATTATATCAGTTGATCATATTCTCCACCTAAAGACAGCCTTATATTATCTTGACAAAAAAGGCTATTCTAGCATTTCCTCATAAATTATGCAAATGAGGCAATGATTTGAATACATTATGTTCCTTGATGTTCAACTTCGTTTAACTTCCAACTGCAGCAAGTATTAAATTCCCAGCAGTTACTACCATGAAATTACAGCAATTTCCCATTGATTACACAAATTAGGACTTCATTACAAATTTGTCGATGTTATTACAGTTGCTCAAAATTTCCCCTAAATTCTACCCTGTGCCATGGCAAAGGCAAACAACATTTGCTTTCACATTTTGCATATTTGAAGTCTACATGTAACTTGATAAACCTGTACAAACCACAGGACAATGTGCCCTCCGACATTCATAGAACGTTACGTCAACGTTAACATTTGGCTGCAGTGACTCATTTCTTTACCTATGTAGTTTTCAGAGGAAACCAGGGATATTAAAATGAGATTACAAGAATCATTCTGGCATTCAGGCAACTTGTAATGAAATATACTATTTGAGCATGAGAGTTATAGGCACTGAGAATGACATCATATACAAATATGCATGTGGGAGGGGGATACGGTAAATTCATTTATTTTTACAGAGATTTGATTTTGCAGTGGGGGGCAAAAATGAAATCTTTGCCAGGTTTCTAGTTCACGGTCGATTTGTACAATACTTTGAAAAAAAACATAGACTAAGGCCACACCAATTTAATTCGTTGTTTCTCGGATTTTTTTATAAAAAATATGAAGCGATAGGGTGAAAAAAACAGGTCTTGGCATCCTATTTTAGCCCCAAATGTTACGAAAGGAGCCATAAAGTCAACACAAAAGGCTGGGCTAATATTCAAACAATGAATTTTGAACTTGCATTGCTAGATGGAAAAACTGTAACAACTAGCAAGAAAAGGACTTTCCTCAACTGTTGGGGGCAAAATATGAGCATTTTTCAGTTGATTCAGAACCAGAATTTTTTTTTTTTTGCAAATCAAAAAAAATGAAGAGGTGAATCCGAGAACCAACAAATTAAATTGGTGTGGCTAACATATAATAAAACCACTCTAGTAATTCTAGTAATACATGTACAATGTAAATTTGAGGTATCATAAAAATGTTCTTTACAATTTGGGCTACATGATATTTTCCTGTATGACACCAGCTTTAACATTAAGTGCTGAGTCAGCATTTTTGTAAGTCTAAGTGCTCGGTCAGTGTCATTCATCTTCGTTAAAAGAAGACCCTTCAGTTTCCCCCGACATGATAACATTACCTCTCTACGTTAATGTAATATTTATTGAATAACCTGTAGAGAAAGAGTTGGAGTAATGGAGGCTAATGTCATTAGCCTGAACCCTTTTCTGGCATTAGGCCACAGCAGGTAAGTTTTTTGGATGACATCCTCCGCAAACTCCAAATCTATTGCGAGCGGGCGAAAAAAAAAAACAAGGCGGGCCAAAAAAAAAAACAAGGTTCCTACATTTTAAAATTTTGACTCAATCACTACAAATGGTTTTGATTCAGTGGGAACATCACATATACACAGCCAGCATCACATATCACTGCATCAAAGTAAGAAACAAAACATTAAATCAGAACCTTGTCTTGTCTACTCTCTGCATAGTTATCTGCCATCCACCTTCC